ATTTCGGTCGTCGTAAGGGTCATACGACCTCCCGGGATCTGGCGCTACGTAGTCATCGTCATATCCGTATGGGCGCGCTTGTTGTCTGGACGGGCGGTAGTAGGCCATATGTGTAGCAGTGGTACTTGTGTTGAGATCTGTGAGAGCGGAAGATGGAGGCTCTATCCGAAGATCTGTTTGTGTGTCTGAGAGGTGAAAGGGCTGATAGGTTGACGTTGTTGTAAGAGAACAAAGGTTTATGTAACGTAGGTAGGTAGTCAAGAACTTGTGAGTTGCCTAGATGTGCATTTCGATAGTGGAGGGGTAGAATGTTGGGGATAAATCCTTCTTTATGTAAAGAGGTGCCTGCATAAAACACGTAATGAAACAGGTGACAAGCAGTAAGAGGAGGGAGTAAAGGAGAACTCCGTATTCAGGGATCATCAAATAAAGTAGGTCACAACTTGGGTCATGGCGCGGCTTGAATCTGAACCGGAAGTGAGACTGTCAGTGAGTGAGTGACCTTGGCGCGAGGATCAAAGGGCTGAGTCCCTAAGAGGAGGGAGGGGGCGCTAACTAGATCTTCTCTTCCGTCATTGAAGAGGATGCATTAATTTTCGCACATATAATCAACATGTAGCGTTATAATTCGCTGATGTGATGCATAAAACCAAGGCCCGAAATATGGCGTCGAGGTGCATTACCCGGAGAAGAATACCAGCCATCCAGCTCGTAGCTTGACAAGCTTTCGTGGGGAACTCGGCGTGGGTTCCATTGAAGACCCTACATGTTCGACGTCATAAGATCCAACTGCTCAGCTGATTGACGTCACTACTCCAAGGGTCTAGTCTCTCTTTAACCCACGGAAAATGACGGACAAATGATTGGAAAGATGGCGAGCGATTTCTGGTCGACTCCTATCAATCCGCGCATCTAATAGGCACAGAATATCAACCGAAACCCTCTTTTGAGAGGGAGTTGCTAATGTCTCATGAGGCCATCGGTGCGCTGCCTCTCATGACCCCAGCTTCATACGGAGGATGGCCGGACTCTCACCGGCAATCAACCCGCCTTGCGCGACCCTTGGACGAATGTCAGATTGAAACGTGTGCTTCATCCTTCAACGGGAGTCGTAGCAATTGTTGGCCACCGCCTTTCATGCCATCATGACGCTGCTGAGCTTCTCTTCGGCCTCCGAGTCCGTGATATATCTATTGAACCAGACAGTAACATCGATGCTGCTACATCATCAAGTACAATAGTGGCTATAAGAGATCGTGTATCATATGACGCTCCCACACGACGATGACAGTCATAGACACATGTTTAGTCGTAGTGATATTGAGAGACATTGAGAGATCCCATCGCAGACAAGCAGGCACACTGCGAGATTAGGGATTCAGCTCAGATTCCAGACCAGATAGCTCCCGCTTGTCAGAACCAAAATGGCCGCTGTTTGATGGACTGGGGTTGCATGTGTTGTATCGGAAGTTTATCACGGGATCTCATCGGCAATGCCAATCCAGCTGATCCCACTTAGTTAAACTTTCAGTTTGACGCAGAACCAGGGTTCATCCATGCTGTACGGCAATATGCTGGGGGTTTGATGCAGGCAAAAAGCAAGCTGATTGCGTGTATAACTGTGTTACCTGGTTCTCGTCGGTGTCGTATCGTTAGGCGCCTTGTCCAACGCAGTGGCAACCAGCCATTGACCCTTGAAGACGACGGGCTCGGGACTTACAATTTCCGCTCGCAAATGATGGCGGTGAGAGTCGTCGGTCAAATTCATCGTCATACACAAATATGAGATCAACAGAGTTGTGGTTCGAACAAACCTGTATGAAGCTCGGGAGATCGAGAATAGTCATCTGGGGCAGAACAAGGTTGACCAGATCGGGATAAGGACGAGAGGAATGGAGGGTGGGGAACGGAAACCTGCAGACCAAGAATCCATCCTGACCTGGGGAAATGGCGGGAAGAGGTTGAATTGAAGTGCCGGGGACCGGCAGTCACTGAAACTGAGCCATGAGGTCCAGCGCTTTGAGGCCAGAGTTCATGCTGTGCAACTCAGAACGTTCAAAGAACTCCATGTTGAGCCAAAGATGCACGTTTTGTGCTGGGTCTTTTATGAGGCCTGAGTAACTCTAAAAAGACGGCGTTATTTGGGTCAATATCTCTTTGTTGCCTGTCTCATGAACACGTAGCATCGCTCATTTTTCAGCTCGACTGCTGTTGCACGAAGCAAGGGCAAAGTAACGTTATGAGAATAGAGGCACGAGAACACTAGGATAAGTCCGAGGTGCAGTGACTGAGACACCCTGGACGATATCAACAGTCATTTCAATTCAGCTGTGATTGTTTTGGGAGCTTGTGCCTTTACGGCGATCTATTGATGCATTGCATCGTGATTAGCACCATCACCATGACAGTCGCGATAGCATAGCAATCATACAGCGATTCAATTGAGTTTCGGTGAACGGCGCCAACACAGATCGCACACCTCCGGCCCGCCTCTACCGGAACAACTCTCGGCCCCTGGATAGCTCAATTCAAGATCATCAATCTCCAGGCGTTTCGTTCACTAAAAGCTGTTAGCAGGCGAAACTGGGATAGGTGATAAAGCTCGGAGGACGGCGCTTTTCTGGGGCTCTTGGCCCGTTATCTTTTGCGCTTATCACACTTGACATGCCTCAAGGGTCTTTCTTTATCGACGAGTGAGCACAGGCCAATGTTCAATTAGTGAGCTACTTACCCGCACGGTGTATCAGAGTTTCAGCACTAGCCCAGCACGCGACAGTACATCCAAGCTGGGAAAGGTCATCAGCCACAAGCTGAATCGACCGCCCGTTCCGTTAAAAACGGTAAGAGGCTTCTCCAACTTGCTAACAGCGACCGCAAAAGTTCACATCTTGAAGGGAAGCAGTCGCGACAATTCAAGAAGCAACACCAGAACGCCAATATTATAATTCTAAGGCGCAATAGAAGAACACAGCATTGCACCCAGTTTCTAGAAAAAAAGGTGCTTACCGCCCTGTCCTAAAGATGTTCAGCTCCCTCCATCCACATTAACCTCGAACCATTGAAATTGCCATGCTAGCTGTCTCAGCTCGTCCGTGTTGCCATGTGTAACAGACGCAGCAATGCAGATAAGCACAAGATCGATGCTACCTCCTTACACCATTCAAATTGGAACTCCCGACATTGTGATTGTGACTGTGACTGTGCATTGTGTCTTCTGTAAGCTGTGCTCAGCTTTCGAGTCATTTCCATCCTCGTCGCACGAAACAAAGCCCCGCGCGAACTACAGTTGCTGGAGCCGCTTGATCATCATCATTATCATCAAAACAGCGGATGTATGCAGTTGAATACGTTTGAGCTACAACATGGCACCACATGGTCCAAGCCACAACGCGCCCAGGATTCGCTCGCACAGTCCGCTCCACCTCTTTTCGAGGCCCACTAGTGACTTTCAGTGACTCCATACCGTTAGAACGGAGGAGATCAAAGAGCTAAGAGCAAATTCGAGTCTTCTGGATGGGCAGCTCGTCTCTGGGTGGCGTTGTACCCGCGCCGCCGCTGTCGCTATCGAACTCCACCTTACCCGCGCAATGGCTTGCATGCTCTTTTGCAGTTCCTGGGTATCCGTAGCTGTTTCTGACACTGCTCGTTGGCTGCTGGGCCAAGCGGCGGCGACGTTTTGGGTAAGGGTTTAATCGGACGGAAATTCAACAATGGGCAACAAAAAAATTTGAAAGGACGAAAAAACCGGGGTCAAAGGCTCAAAATCGACTGAGATGAATGTAGTGCCTCGGCCGATTCGTTCTTGCCATTCAATTTTTTGCGGAGCATCTTGAGGAAGGAGCTGCCCATTCACTGGAGACTGGGCAACCGTTACTATCACGAATTTGCCATCTGCAAATTTGCTCTCTTCTCTTTTTCCTTCGCGCAACATCGCGAATCACTTCTTGCCTTGGCTGCAACGCTTTGCTTACCTCTCAAGGGTTAGTTGAGCTGTATGTACCACTAATATCTCTCTGCCGTCTTCTTCTTCGCCGTCGTCTCTCCAGGGTCTCTCGCGCAAACTCTCGGGCTTTCACCAGCTGCAAGTCAAGTTCAACGTTGGCTCCGAGGGCATGAAAGAAACATATAGTAGAACTGCTCCGAGCTTTATTTGATCAACCTTGCTAGGGCTTATATCTTTGCTCTGGCTCGAGTATTTCTTTGGACCTCCCATCGGGCCCTTGATATCGGGACGCTATTCTCTTCCCCGATACGGCACCTTCGTCCGTCGGCGCATTACACCCTCTATTACTCGACAGATTGCGATCGGGACTCTATACGTTTCCGTCACATCTTTGGCTACTATTTCAGCCGTCAATTGCATTTACAAGTATATACACCGCGTCCGAATTGCATTGCATTGCATTGCATTGCATTACATTGCTGGCTTGCCTTGCACTACGTACTAGGTATACCAGCCGACGCCTCTTTTGTACTTCCATCGGTAAGCCTCTTGTCCGTTGCCTTCCCTGGGTCTTTTGGCGCCCTTGCGCATCAATGTACAACCTCTTCTATGTATAGTTTTAGACATCGCGCCAATGCACCCTTGTTCACATGCACCCAATTCCTAAAACCCCAGTTCCCAAGTTCCCCAGTCTCTTATCTCCCCCAGTTAAGATATCTGGGCTTGGACCCCATTGCCTATCCCACCACATACATAACCTCCGTTGTCCCTCCATTAGCCTCCTCGGCCGCCTCCGACCCTCTTTATCGGAGACATACCGTTGGCTATCTATCTGTCTAGACTTGGCCAATACAGGAGCTAACTGTAAAAGAGTCTAGGACATTCGTCGAACCCTTGGGATCGCCATTAGTTAAAGACAGCTGCCTCCCGTCTGTCAATTCAGCTTTCAATCTCGAGCCTCGCAGCACGCCGATCACACTTGTCCCGTGGCTTTTGGGTTTTGCTCAATTTTTGAATACCTTTTTGTCACATAGTCGTTGTCAACTCAATCTTCAAGATGGGTTGGATGGATAAGACCAACCGCAAGATTGCGGCCAGTCCTGTTGGACGTTGGTTCCAGCTTGAGGGTTCCGGCCATGTAAGTCAAACCGGCCACCTCCGATATCAACTTCACAGCTAATGCTCTCTCCAATTAGCCTCGTGAGCGCAAGGGCTCTCTCTTCTTCACTGAGATCCGAGCTGGTCTCGCCACCTTCTTCGCCATGGCCTATATTATTGCTGTAAACTCTTCGATTGTTTCTGAATCTGGTGGTCCATGTGTTTGCCCTACTTACAAGGACGGCGCTTGCGTCCCCGACGAAGCTTACCAGCTGTGCGTTGCCGAGGTCAAGCGTGATGCTGTCACTGCTACTGCTGCCATTTCTGCTCTGGCTACTTTCTTTATGGGCCTGCTTGCCAACCTTCCCGTCGGTCTCGCTCCTGGTATGGGTCTCAACGCCTACTTCACCTACACCGTCGTTGGCCCCAGCGGCTCTGGCCCCGTCCCTTATGAGCTTGCCCTTACAGCCATCTTCATCGAAGGTTTCATCTTCTTCGGTCTTGCTCTCTTCGGTATGCGTCAATGGCTTGCTCGCGCTATCCCCCGCTGCATCAAGCTCGCCACCAGTGTCGGTATCGGTCTCTTCTTGACGCTCATCGGTCTCACTTATAGCGAGGGTATCGGTCTGATCGTTGGTGCCGTTTCAACCCCTATGGAACTCGCAGGTTGTGAGTCGCAATATCGGGACCCTGACACCGGTCTGTGCCCTTCTTCGCAGAAGATGAGAAGCCCTACCCTGTGGATCGGTATCTTCTGTGGCGGTATCTTCACCGTGTTGCTCATGATGTACCGCGTTAAGGGTGCCATCATTGCTGGTATTCTGCTTGTCAGCATCATCTCCTGGCCACGAGACACCCCTGTGTCATATTTCCCCTACGACGCCCTTGGTGACGATCGATTCAACTTCTTCAAGAAGGTTGTCGATTTCCATGAGATCAAGAAGACCCTTAACGTCCTCCAGTTCAACATTTCTGGCCACAGTGGCCAGTTCGGTCTTGCGCTCATTACCTTCTTGTACGTCGACATCTTGGACTGTACCGGTACTCTGTATGGTATGGCTCGTTTCGCCAACCTAGTCGATCCCGTTACTCAGGACTTTGAAGGCTCTTCGATTGCCTATATGGTTGACGCCCTTAGCATTTCCATTGGCGCTGTTTTCGGTGTTCCCCCTGTTACTGCCTTTGTCGAGTCTGGTGCCGGTATTTCTGAGGGTGGAAAGACTGGTCTGACTGCCATGGTCGCCGGAATCTGCTTCTTTATTTCCATCTTCTTTGCGCCCATTTTTGCTTCCATCCCTCCTTGGGCCACCGGCTGCGTTCTGATTCTTGTTGGCTCCATGATGGTTGGCGCGGTTACTGAGATCAACTGGCGTTACATGGGTGATGCCGTTCCTGCTTTCCTCACCATTGCCATCATGCCTTTTGCGTACTCGATTGCCGATGGTCTGATTGCTGGTATCTGCACATATATGTTGATCAACACCGTCGTTTTGGTCATCAAGGTTGTTTCCGGTGGCCGTATTGTGCCTCCCAACTATGACGAGAGAGACGGGTGGACTTGGCGCATTCCTGGTGGTTTCTTGCCCCCTTGGTTGAACCGTCTGGTCCACGGAAAGAAGGACTTTTGGCGTGAGGAGTTCCCTCCTGCCGCCAATGACACTACCGTGAACCAAAATGCTGTTCCTGAGGAGACTGGTTCTGATCATGGTGGATCTGAGGGCGGTAAGGTCCCTGAGACTACTCTTCCCCGTGAGAAGGAGACTTGAAAGGATATGGAAGAGATTATGGTTACTTCAAAATGTTAGTCTGTTGAGTGAAACGTAGGAGAATCTGGAAGATATACCCAAGAAAACAATAACACAACGATGTTCTGTTTGATATACTCGACCTGTCCCTGCAAGTGATGTCTCGGAAAGATGTGTCGCCCCGATTTCCGACTGCCCGGCCAAATCAAGGCCCGTCAGTCCCTGGCCCGGTTTCTCGAGGTTGTTGAGATTCGACTTACCTAAGGCGTACATGTCTAGGAAGTGCTGGGTGACACTGGTGTAAGTAGCATGCAATGGTGTACGTGGACGATCCGTTGCATTGTGTTCTGGGAACTGAATGCAGAGCGGACAATATACAATCAGATAAGCACGTATGGTGAAACGAGTAGCACCAAGGCCTTCGTGTTTTCATATCTGAGGAACTGTCAAACAAGGCGTATCTACAGCTGGGTTTCATTCGAGTTCAACACAAATGAGCCTTATCGCACAGCCTGTATCCTGTCCTCATAGCAAGTCGTCTCTGAGATCTTCAAGTCATAAATCATCGCTGTTCGCTAAATAGTTTCGCTCGTTAAGCCATCAAAGCAATGTGCTTCAGTTCCCTAAGACATGGTTAGCATCGATCGTCGGTGGTTGGAGAGGTCAACGTACTCCTGCACTTGGTGTCCAACTTTCATGGGAGGATACTCAACCTCTTGTCCTTCGTCTCTTCCAAGCTCTTTCTGTCGCTCTCTAACTTCCTTTGCCCTGGCCACGAGCTTGGGAACGGGGTTGAGGTCGACGTCACTGCCAAGATGCCAGAATAGGGTACTCGAGATTCTGACCAGAGGTCTTTCAGGGAAGTCCAGCTTCCTCTTCTCAATGGTCTCAATAGTCTTCTCGTTCACAATAACCTCGTGGAAACCAGCTTTGATGAGTCCACCAGTGATGTGCTCAATCTGCTTGCCTGCTTGAACGAGGAGGTAGTTTCCTGGTGGAATCTTGACGGCAATACGGTTTCCGGTGTTGCGTGCCCAGATGTGAAGACCAGGGTAGCGAGAGCGACCATGGATGGTGAGGAAGTTAAGATCTGTATGGAAGCCGGCCAGGATGGTGTTCTTCTCACCGTACTTGACCAGGTCCGAGGCTGTCGGGGCAAGAAGATGAGGTCTATTTACGCATGTGAGCTTTGGGGGCTGCTATGATATCTTGAGGGTACTTACCCGTATTTTCCAGCATCACTGAAGAACTGAGCTGGTAGATCTAGACCAACGGCGGTCATCTCTGCCAACTTAGATACACTATGACATTGATCAGCACTCGAGGGCTCATGAGAGGGAGTATCAGGGACTTACGCGCTCTTCATGGACGTCCCCCACTGGTTCATGGCTGGCTCCCATCGGTCCCTGATATGAGGGGCTTCAGGGACCACGTTTGGGGCGTTCAATCCAGGGAACTCGGTCTCAAAAGGGGGTTGCTCGCTCATCCTCCAGAAGAATCTGCACTTGGGATCAGGTGAGTGAGCTGAGATATCCAACGGTCTTTGTGAAGGGTCGAGTCTCTGAATGACATCAAGGCATGGCTCATCAACAGCACACTTGGGCTTTTCAGTATTCTCTAATGTGACACCGATTTGATAGCTCAACTCAGGCTTCTCATCTTTTCTGAGGACCTCTTCAGGTTGAGCAAAGTAATCTTCAAGGATGTCGAGGAAAGTAGAGTTGTCCTCCTCTGAGACTCTGCTGTCGTGAAGGACGAGAGCACCGTATGTGATGAGGGCGTTGGCTGCTTTTCTGCATTCTTCTTGAACAGCCTCTGAGTCTAGGGGATTGTTTAGGTAGACATCGAGGTCAATCACGGGGAGATCCATGGACTGTTCTGTTGAAGCCATTTTGTGAGGCAGTTCGTCTAAAGTGACTGAGATACGCTGACAGGTAAGATAAGCAAGCAGATGTCGACACCACGATCAGCCCTCAAGCTATCCAGATTTCGCAGCAGAATATATATGAAAAAAAGGAATAAAATGAGGATTCAGTGAAACAACAAAAATTCTTTTCTTGGTGTTCCACTTTGGGAAGCTGTGACGGATTGAATCTGTGTTCTTTGGGAGAAACGTCGATTACACGAGCTTTGATTGGTCGGGAGCTTGTGGTCCAGAGACGGAGTTGGCCGGTCCCCGATAGAAACTGATCATGAGGGACGGACTTGGGCGGATTTAAACGGACTTGTCATGAGATGTTACATCCAGACGCCAATTGTATTATCTATTATATACAGACAATTAATTGAGAATAAGCTCTTGCCGTATTTGTATTCTTGGCCCGTATCCCCGGAGGAGAAGAACAGTGAGCCAGTCAAACTGGCTTACTATCTCTCGCTACCTAGAACAGGCGTTAAGCGGACATGGCATATCTCAACTAACAAACAACCATTTGGGCTTCAAGTTGTGAGGATTATGTGTGTGAAGAGGATGAGACTCTGATAGTGACCGCCCGTAACATAAGACATAGGGTTATGGTTGTTCTGTGCTATATCACAACCTTTCAGTAACAGACATAGACAAGGCGTATCCAGTCTTCTGCCACTCATTCCTTGAAGGACAAGATGCTTGGACTAATCAACTTACTTTCTCTCAAGCCTAGCCTAGATCGTCAAGGCCATTACAAAAACACAAACATGACACAAACAAATGGTTCAAGGAATCTATTTCCATCTCACAAATAAACTCGCCAGGCCGTCGAGGCAATGCCCACCTCCGCTGGTAATATACACCTCTTTTCCCATCCGATCCTCCTCTCGCTCTCCATAAATCTTAATCTCTCTCCCTCCTCTCTTACGAGCGCTCAGCCTCAAGTTCCCGCTCAGCCTGCTGGTAGTACTTGGCTGTGTCGACACCATGCTGGTTATGGTTGACAAAGTTGAACCAAGGAATTGTGCTAAGGAACAGAGCAGAGTATCTGCTCTGTCGGGCAGCAACACCTTGAAGATGAGGGCTTAGCCGGCTGACGCCATATAGAGGCTCGCCCTTCTTAACCTTATCGACCATCTCGCGCATATCCATCTCAATCTCGCGGGCGTTCTCAGTAGCGCCGTAGAATCGAACTATTCAGATTAGTTTACCCGGCCGGTATATCATTCGGCGTTGTAGACGTACGGGCTGATCGCTGGTAGAAGTACAGGAAACCACCCAAGAGACCAACACCACCAGCCAGTCGCATGGCCTTGGGGAAACCACCCTTTCCTACATGCGAGGGAGCGAACTTCTCGAGGGCGTAGAGAGCAGTGGGAGCGAAAGCAGCGGCGACCGTGCCGGCGATGTAATCGGATGTACGGGCATAACCCACGACTCGCTTGAAGTGACTGTCGAGGATCAGCAAAGCTCAACCCAACCCCAATCCAGACGATTCGATCCTCAATAGCATTTCAATCCATTCGTATCGTCGTTGCTGGGTATCGGAGGGGTTCAGGTTACGTACGGATCGTTGTCAATGAGCTATAACATCATCAGTTAGCAACTGCGATTGCTCCATCAATTGAAGCGTCACTTACGGGATACTCGGTCTGAACGACCTTGCTGGTCCCGACAAAGGACGGGGTCGACTGCTTTGTCGCTGTCTCAGCCATTGTGTGATGCGTCGTCCGTGGCAGTCAATTCCTTGAATACTATCACCAAGGCCTTTCGAGGTCGTCGGTTTCGGTACATTCAGAAGCTGGAAACAGAGTGGATGCCTGAGGATGCTAATCACGTGCTTCGGCCAGCTCATCGAAGTTGTTGAGGATTGGTCACGTGGTGGGTAGTGGGGTTGAGGATCAATTAAGCTCTCGACGCGTCTCCCCAGTTCGAGACGCGTTAAGCCATTGAGTTCCCCAGACTTCAGCATACAATCACAATACAGAATGCCTACACTAGACTCGGATCCCGCCAATGGGCTTGATAACTACGATGTTGACGACTTTTCTGACGATCCCTTTGCATCTCCACCACCAGAAGCCGCCAACAAGAAGCGAAAAGAGCCAGATTCTGGTCTCGGTATTGATGAAGAGGTTGATGTCAAGAAGAGGGCGCGAGTTCCCAATGTGAAACTTGACGAAGAGAGGTATAGATCCATAATACTGCGTAGTCTCATGCGATTCTAACATTATTTAGATTGCTTGGACCGAAGGGTATTCCCAAGCTAAGGCAAAGGGCGAAGGATCTCAAAATCAAGGGCAAAGGCCATGAGGTATGCCACTATCTGCCAATAAGCACAGTAGGAAACATGTTGACAGTCAGTCCAGTTCTCTGACGCCTCTCGACTTCTATCCTTCTATCAACTATGGCTAGACGACCTCTTCCCCAAAGCCAAATTCCTCGACGCTCTTACCATGGTCGAAAAAGCCGGCCACAAGAAACGAGTCATGATTGCACGAAACGATTACATAAACGAGAGCAAACCCAAAGACAGAACTGCAGATGACGACGAGGGAGAGGATGACTTGTTTGGTGAAAACGATACATCAAGACCTACAGAGCAGGAGGATACAAGACCAGCAGAACCCGCCAGACCAAAAACGCCAGAGCAAGACACAGGCGTACCAGACGACGATGATCTTTACGATGCTACACCACGAGCCGCACGACGAAGCGCAGGGCCAATTGTTCCCATCCGCAACGACGTTCCAGAAGATGATGATTTCGAGGCTCTTATTGCCGAGGCAGCAAGCCACGACGCTGCTCAAAAAGCGAAAACAAAACCTACACCAGCAGAACCAGATGATGATGACTTGGATGCACTCATGGCTGAGGCAGAAGCCCAAGATACGGCGAAGAAACCAGAAGCAGCACGGGTTGAACCAGATGATGATGATCTGGATGCCCTGATGGCAGAAGCTGAGAGTCATGATCAGACGAGCAAAGAGAAGAGTCAAGGGTCAAAAGACAAGGAGACGAATAATTTTGATGATGATGAGGCAGCTATGCAAGAGATGGATGGGTTATGGTAAAGTTCCAAGAGGGACTATGATGGTTTGGCGTTGGGCGTAGGAGTGAGCACGAGTTTCTACCTCTGGTGGATGTCATTGAACATTAATTGGGTCATATACCAAGGACATTTTGTCTTCCGACTAGCATTATTAGCAATTATGTTGTCAATATCGAGAAACATCGATGTTCGACTTGAATTGGATACTGGAAGCTATCAGACGGATAGATAAAATGATGAAAGAAATCGAAGACCACCAGTATGAACAATTCTAAACGAAGCTGAACTACCAAAGAGCGACCATCATCGATGGTGTCTCCTCTTCATTGCGCCACTATTTAGAAGGCTGAAGGTGAAGGTCTTTACGCTCAACATCAGAGTATAGAATACTAACATGACTGCAGACAGGAATACAGAGGGCCTGGCAACACTCAAATCGGCATTCAAGGCAAAGGCAAGTATCACGAGAATGGAACAGATATTGTAGGTCATATGCTTCTTTGAGCGTTCATTGTATTGTTACACAAAAGATTTAAGTGTTGGGCTTTATTGCCAGTCCCCCCTGGGACGTTGATCCTTTTGCGCCTTGCACCGATTTTTTTCCCAAATCAAAACATTATCACATTACGGTAGATCATCATGGATATAACTCTCATAATGTCCGTGCCCGGTTGTTCTCTTCCTCCAATATCACTGACAAAGCAGCCTTCTTCTTGCTTGGTTGATGTAAACGTAGTGGGGAGCGAGTCTCAGAGTCGAGGACTTGACCAGTTTCACGCTGAATTGGGGCCTCCAGGTAGTGCTTGATAGCCCAGGCGAGTGTCAACAGTAGTTCACGCGACGGCAAAGTAATCACGGACAAGCACCTTACCAACTCGTCTTGGCCGCGCGAATCCTCGGTCTCGCGCTCCGCATCCTCGACCATGGAATCGCGTCCCTCAGACACCAACCGCAATGCCACCAACGTCGCATCCAATAGAGGACGCGCCAGGGAGGGGCTGCTGGATAGGATTTTCCGAAGAGACTTGATTCTCAAGTTCGTAGATGCGGAACTCGTCGCTGAGGATCGCAGCGGCGTCGTCGGTTGGCTTCTGGAGCTCCGCCGTGATACCGTTGTCCGTGTCGTTGATGAAGGTGTTGTACAACTCGTCGTTGAAGCTGTTGTCGAGGGAGAACGGGGACGTGTCAAACTCCAGATAAGGCTCGTCAGAAGCTGAGGAGAAGGGCGAAGAGAGATGCCCGTTTTCGATGAGATAACGATCTGTGTCAAGGGACGTTGACAGAAATTCAGAAGCGCCATAGCTGAAAAGAGTGTCATCTGAAGTGGCAGGAGCCAGGCCAATGTTGGCAGAGTCAAGGTTGTGGGTAACTGGGACTGGGACATCTTCGACACCTCCGCCGACATGTGACACTGCAGGTCGGACAACATCGCAGCAGGACGTTGTGTCAGGTCGGGAGAGGTGTTTTCAGACTGTTCCAGGGTTGTCTCCTTGGCCGGCTCCTGTTGAAGGGTCTCTTCAGATTCTTCGGGAACGGGTGATAGGCAGGGGGATAGTGCCATTGGGTCTACAGTGGCGTTGGGAGATACCATGGTCTCCGCTGGCTGATGTGTTGTTTGGGGGCTGAAGAGCTCCTGGGACAGAGGGGGAAGACCATTGGCCTTTCTCATCTGTGCAAGCTCATCCATGAGCCTGGCGTTCATCTGCTCAGCCTGTTGGATGGCAGCCTCGAGGTCCTTGTTCCTCTTCTCGAGCTGCTCCACCTCCTGCCTCTTGCGTTCACGAGAGGACTGGGCTGCGCGGCGGTTCCGTAGAACGCGCTCAACTCGGCGCTGCTCCTTTTCATCAGCGGTCTTTGCTCGCTTTCTGTGTGGGGAGTTAGTGGAACCGTTGGTGACATTATCTTCAGTTGTCGTTGGTTCATACCTAGGAGGGAGGTTTGTCTTGGGCTCGGGAAGGACTTGACCCCATGACTTCCTCTTCTTGGTGGTCTTCTTCTCAGGGGCTGGAGAAGGGGATGGTGTTGATACAACGCCCTCCTCCTGCTTGATCATTGGTAATAGAGAGTCATCGTTGTAGGACTTTGGTGTCAACATATCCATGGGGTTGACTGTAGAAGCTGCGCTAGGGGTGGTGGCGGCGAAGAGTGATGTGTAGGCGTCTTCAGGAGCTGATATGAGAGACTCGGCTGGAGACTGGAAGAATTGGGAAGCCGGTGACCCTTGTTGCTCCATGTTTGTGTGTAATTAGGTGATGTATGGTTTGGTTGAATGGAGAAGCTGGAGTTGGTTCTATCTGGAATTCAGATACAGCAGCGGATATTATGGGGATAAGTAGCTGTTATCAAAGATGTATGAGGCGCAGGCAGCGATGTTCCACCATCACAAGACTTGGCCAAAGTGTGAGTCAGTGACTAGACTTTGATAACGTCTGCCTTGATCAACTATGAGTCAGGTCAGGTGATGGTTGGAAAGGAGCTTCAAGAGGAATAAGGACAGCGTGTTCACTCTGTATTAGCGACCTTGATTTGCTGGGTGCTTGTCGGTTTGGGAATGGAAAGGACAGCTTGGTAGGAGCGGACAGGCCCTCTTTATCTCTTGAGGACACGTTGAGAGTTTGGAGGGGCACGGCTCGGTAGATGCAACTGCCTGAGGCACCAACCCCTGAGATGGGGTACAAACCAAGACCACCCCCTGAACTCGTTTTGAGAGCCCAAAGAGGGAAGGTGCTCTCGGATAGGACCCTTCTGGTGCCGGGATGCACTCGGGCTGGCTTGGTGCACTGGTACGTACTGTACTTCGGGGGGGCCCCTCCTGGAACAGAACAGGCTTTCAGGGGGCGCAAGTTACGCCACCGAGGGACACGCACCTCGACTGCAGGGGGGCTTAGGAATCTCCCCCACAGCGCATGCCGCAGGTCTCATTGGCGGAATACGATCTGACACAGCGCTGTCCGGGCCTGTACGGAGCCCCATCGACCGTTCGAGTTTCCAAAAAAAGGGGTTGATCAATCGGAGGCCGTGAGACCTTTTGGTTCAGTTCAGTTCAGTTCAGTTCAGTCCGCCCGTTGAGTTAGTTACTTTACAGCAGTCGAGTTGATGGGCCTGCGGTGCCAGAAACGCCGTTCTTTCTTTGTTTAGTAGGTGACGGACCCTGTAGCTCCTTGTGCCTCATTTTGAGGATGGTGCGATGATCGATTTGCCGAGAGACTGTACTCGGTATGTACATAAGGTACTCGTGGGAGGGTGCACGAGAATAATGATGATCAATAGGTAAGGTAGCCAACTCAAAAAGCTGATGAGGCTCGTGTAACAAATAACAACAAACCCCGTGTTGGTGGCTTTTAATTTTAGAGAACGAGAGATGCGCAAGATAAGCACAAACAAAAACAAAAACTGCCGATTCTCATGAATACGCTTCAGCCATTTCTCCCTGTGGGTGGTGCAGCCCGCGCATTCCCATGGAGGAGAAAAGGCTATTGAAATGTCGTGATCCCCTCTTCTTGAGAGCAACCACTGATATGGATCTACACCATCAACTCTATTCCGTAGGTACTAAGTTATTCACACTTTACAGAGTCTAGCATCGCTCTATAGCATGTTTGTTTTCCCCCCAACAAACAAGGCGACTTATTCTGCACAATGACGAGATCTCAAAGAATGGATACTCCAAAGGAAAATGGGCGAAGGAGGTCGAAGGAATGGATCCGACAACCACACAATTCTAGGTGCCTCCTAAGGTACTGTACTGTAATTCCTCTGCCTAGCGCTCACGATATGGAGAAGTCCTAGGCTTTGACCTTGGTTTTCGTACACAGTCAGCTATTGTCAGCTCTCCACCAAACCCACCAATCCACCCAAGCCACGCAGGGAGAAAATCCACAGACTCAAGTCCATTCATGCAGGGCATCATCATTTCTCTCGTTATCGTCGATGATGCCTGTCAAGGGAGAAGAACAAGAAAGAGAGAGAAAGCGGTGTTGAGAAGCCATTAGCTCTTTGGGGTCCGTCCGTAGGAATGTGACCGAAGGAAGCCCAACATAACCCCAAAGGCAAATGGTATTTTGACAATCGACCATTAAACTCAAAGCAAATGATGGACAGGCCAATTAAACAGCTCAGTTATTATCATGACCCCTCCTGTAATGAAAGCCTCGTAAACAACGGAAACAATATCACAGCGCCTCAGGAAAGATTATCGGTGTTACGGCTGCTACGTGACAGACGAGACTCGTAACGAAGCATTTGTCTGCAGCCTTCGTAAGACGACGTCGTCTCTTCTCTTCTCTTGTCTTGTCTTGTATGCATCAGCGGCCATGTCCTAACTTAGAAGCTGGGCTGACGCTGACTGACGGACGCCTCATCGAGTGGAGTGTTGCTTTCTCGTGTGTGTTCCAAGAAAAGAAACTGCCTGAAGCTAATGGTAACTAAGCTGGTGCTGCTGCTGCTGCTGCTATTGTACCGCCGGTCCTACCGGGGACTCATCCGCCATCCACCGAAATACCACCTCCTCCATTTGTTTCGCTGGCTCTGGAATCTCAAGCCTCAAGGCCTCCATATTATCCACCAAATGCCCCATATCGCCATCATCGACGGTCGCTCATCTTGGCTCTGTTTTCTTTGATTGCTGAGATCATTGGGCCCTCAGAGCTTAGGGTTGAGGCTACCAGGTTTCAGAACTATTTTACATATTTTACTTTTCGTAAAGCTTTACATTTTGAGTTCAGCTTACGCAGGGACAAACTGTCGAGCGATGAATGTAACAGGAGAACCTTGATAAGTCGGTCTGATATGCATTGAGATTGGCGATATACTCGCGAATCCCCTCACCAGATTCTCCACTGCTGAGATACCTTGGGATGCGGTGAACAGACTGGTATCTGCACTTTGGGTTTTGTTGAGCTCCTCTGGTTGCTGGAATTGTTAAGTCGGTGAATCAATGTCTCAAGTAAAGTCCAGCTCAGAGTCTTCAAGCCTCAATACCGAATTGAGACGGAACATGCAGATTTTCTCATTCATCGATTCCATTCTCCAAATTCAAATTCAAAATGAAATTCACCGGTTCTTCGGTCGAGCTCCCTTGTAGGTACCTAGTGCTACGGATCGCCTCCCCGCGACCTGGAATGGAACGCTACTTTAGTTCTCTGAGACCTCCCAATGCCAATGCCATGCAGCTGGGACCTCGCTACTAAATGGGGCCCCTTTTGCTTGGCGAAACTTGAACTGAACGAGACAAGACAAGACAAAGATCTCGTTCGTCTCGAGCGGGAAGGGAAGGGGATGGATCTAGGCGAATCTACCAGCCGCCCAACCCATCCCGTCAGCTCAAGGGATTCCCTCTTGGAGACACGGAAGGGAGAGACATACCAACGGTTATAGGTACCTAGCAAGGGGGTGTAATAAAACTTAGGACCTCTATCTTAGGTGACAAAAGTCTTCAGATCAGCTTAGATAAATTTAGTATAGATTTAGTATAGCTTTGGTAAATCTTAGACTAAGTAATTTTGGTACCTCAATTTAACGTCAGAAGTCTTCTTGCACCCCGAGGCCTAGGTAGGTAGGTAGTCGCAGGGAGACAACGTTCAACCTCTTCTGCCTCTGCCGGGTCTGCCCTCGTTTCTGGCATGTCTCAGGAGTACCAGTTTCACTGTAAGTGATCTTCCCGTTCCCTGTCCTGCCCTGACCCGTCAGAGATGTCGTTCGACCCTGATCGTCAAAGAGCCCCCTTTCCTAATCCCTCGAGCCCAAGGATACCGATGGTCTATCCCTTTTTAGCCTGCCCAGCTCGCCTCTTGTCCCTAGCTTCCATGATAGTTCTTCCGCCGGAGACACAGGCCCATACCATAGTCGGACCATAGATTCGCGCGCCAGTGATTGAAGGTCTGGACGTAAGAGCAGTTGGTGGAGACTTCATTCCAAAACGTAGCGTAACCCCTGGTTTGCAATATCGGGCTCATCTGAGCTTAATTGAACCAATTAATTAATCTCAAACTTGTGCTCTATTGCCGGGACCGTATCGAATATTATCTGCATCTGTCACCTAGGTCCTACGCCATGTCCTATCAAAGAATCTCATCTCATATTCGACGCGTTCCCCATTGTGTCAGGTTGGCCGGCCCCGTACTTTTGTTAGTATCGGAAGACGATGGAAGCACAGTGAAACCACTTCCTCTCACTATGATATGAATTGCTCATCTCCAATCTCATATTGTTGCCTGAGTCAAGTCTCATCAGCTAAAACTTCAGCATTGATCACTTTCCAACCACTGTTTCCTCCCAGCCTCTTCGCGTGCGACCGTTACGGCACCACCCGCCGCCCCTTAACCAAGCATTGTTAGGACCACACATTGAGTGAGAAACAGACTCTGATCGCGGCAAGTCCAAGCTTGGGCTCTTCAGATTAATAGCTCGTTTGTTGCGCAACGAAATGTGTAGTACGCTGCGACGCGCAAATCGGCATGTGGGATATTAATGCTCATCACCCAAACCGAACTGCCGATTGACAAAGATATTTGACCCTCGCTACCATGTCTCGATTCTTCCAACAGAAATTCCACATGACGACGGCCCAGAAATTTGCGGCCGCCTACGGGATATCACAACGGCCGCTGCTCTTGAACGGGATCCTGAGTCCTGCGGCCTCTCGTAGAGTTTATGCCCGTTCACTTGAGGTCACTGACGTTTGTTGTATGTTGTTTGTTGTTTCTCTTGAAGTACATGTTTCATATTCGATATTTTTAGACCGATTATATATGCTGTAGCCACTTTTATATCTTGAAACAACTATAGCCCAACGAAGCGTCTAAGTCACCAAAACTGAGGCGAGGTTTCAGCGTCGTTTGAATCGCGAAACCGAAAGTCGTTCGTTCTTGCGACTTGTGAACCTTCTGTAGGTCCTCCCTCTGTGTAAGTATTTGTGTGCGTCGTTCTAGAAGCATGAGGTGCTCGCTTACTGCTTGAGTCATAGTGGCTCTTGGGATGGAATATGATACGAGGGATGGCCAATTCTTTCGGTACTCATACCTTCAGCTGCTGATAATTATCTGTTGAATCGCATAGTACTGGTGCATGCTGTTTCATGAGTGAGCATGTTCTCGAACCTAGTCTGTTTAAAGCCCTTCAACGTTTTCCTCAGAGTCTAGCTATATATTGCCCATTATGTTCATGATCCCACATGATATCAGGGCTAGGTCACTAATAGCATCAGAAAAGGCTATTTGATTGTCCGCTCAAATAAGCAATAAAATAATATTGGCAAAACTGTTATTGTCCATCAGTTCGTCATTGATATTCAGTGATTGACTGACTGTGATCAAAACTACCCTAGATCAATGCAACAAGCCAGCCATCTGGAAGTGGCTGTGCAAAGCCACAACCAGAGCCTTATCAGTTCCGCCAAAATTATCCGTCACCGTTCGTTGCGTCATTCGCCCACTTCTCCAGCCTGTCTTTCGTGGCGCCCCGCATTCAACCATCCCATCGCAAGCCAAATCGAGGTTCCGATTCTAGGCCTTCGGCGCTTCCATGCCTGCTTCACCTAAAGTTTTAACACTCACATGACATTTACAACCTCTGCCAACCTTACTACTCAACAGTAAAAAACTCTTCCTCTACGACTCCTACCATCAACCAACCAACCAACCAACCAAACTCCCACAATGGCGAACCGTCAGATGGCCCGCGACATGCAAGTCGAGTTCCAGGCTCGCTTCCAAGCCAAGCAGGCTCGCCGCGAGGCCCAAAAGGCAGCCAAGCAGGACCCCATCCTGAAGAAGCAGATCCAGGATCTTCTCAAGAAGGGCGAGACGCAGAAGGCTTACCAGAAGGCCAAGATGCTGCTGTCGAAGCAGGCGCTTGCTCAGCAGATGGATCAGATGGCTGATATGGCCGAGTTGTCTGCTGCGCAGATTCAGGCCAACAACTCGATGAACCGCATGACACAGATGATGGCTCAGTCATCACGAACCATGAACGTGGCCCAGAAGAACACCAACCCCGAAAAGGTGAGCACATTTGTTATCCATCCAATATCGACCGAGACTAACAACAGCCTAGACACTCGTTACACTCGAGCAGTTCAAGCAGCAAAACGAAGAATACGCCATGTCCAACGGTATCTACCAGGACGCCATCACCCAGTCCACCTCCACCCAGGTCGGTGAGGATGCTGTTCACGAACTTCTCGGCAAGCTGGCCGACGACGCTGGCCTTGAGCTCAGCAAGGAACTCAACCAGGCGACACCTTCGAACGCTGAACCCCAGCAGACCAACGAGCCTACCGCTGAGGAGGAAGATAAGCTCCAGCAGAGGCTGCGAGCCCTGCGCGCATAGTCTTGTATTCCACAGGAGAGCTTGCTGGGTTCAGGACATTTGAATGTTCCATCATTTCATGCGATAGGGCGGCATGACAGATACATCACAATCAACTTTCGGAGAGGTGCGTTTTCTTGGTTAAGGTTTGGCGTTGGGGTCTTGGTGGCGACATAAATTCATCTTCATCTCCAACTTCGAGAATGAACGCAATTCTTCTTTATTGTTTATCAACATCATACATTAGACATGACATTCGCTCTCGCTTTTCTCCTACATGCTCGTGACGTCCATAGCACGCTCCTTGTAAATGCCAGACCATCAAACCATGCTTGGCTTACACTACATGTAGAGACTTGCCACCGCTGTGATATCCCTCTTGATCATTTCCTGTGCCTGTTGCATCTTCTGATACAGTTCGGGATCACCCACAATTCTCGCCGCGTTCTTCACCTCGCGACATGTCTCATCTAATCGTGTAATCGTCCGTACAATCGTTCCCTCAAGGACGTCGGTCAAGCCCGTGATGTTCTTAAAACTCATACCTCGAGCCCATTCATAGACCACTTCCATGATTCCGAACCGTGGCCGAGAAACAAAGTCATTTGAGTCATCAGCAGACTGAATGACTTGCAGTCGCGTTTGCACATCGTTCACCTTCTCGGATATGGCAACAATCTTTTCCTTTCCTCGCTCGAGGTTGCCGGTCAGGGACGGCTCTATGTCGGTCTTCTCTTGGAATACAAACGCCGAAAGGAGAGCGGCAATCTCGGCAGGTTCGTAGTCGGCGAGGACGTTGTCAAGAATGAGTTCAGTCAGGACTAGTTCATCACCAGAGTGAATCTCACACGCGACCTTGCCCTTGAGCTGGATCCGGGTGGCATCATCGATGAAGCCAAGCTCCTTAAGCACTTGGACTCGTTGCTCGTAATCAGGTAGAAGTTGAAGGTTCTGATCAGATAACGACTGCTTCAGCTGAAAGATATGATCCTTGATGAGCCACTCATCGTGGCACATAGCAAACTGCCCATATCGTTAGTACTAAGATCTTTCAAGGAGGTCGAGGTGAACTTACATGCTTCAGGAAGTCTGGACACTTCTCAGCTGGCGAGTACGATATCGTCTTGACCAATTCCACTCTCTTTTCCACAATCTCCTGTAGTTGCAGTTGCTTGATTCGAGAGAGATCGAGTTCCTCCCATCTATCATCCCACGAACCACAAAGCTCTTGAAGTTTGTCTTTCGCCTGTTGATAGCCATCTCCGCCTTGGAAGATCTCAGGAATAATGCCCTTGGTCACCCATCTCGTGAGACACTCCACGTCGCTCAGAGGAACGTGCAGAGTCTTAGTCTGCACTCGCTTCTTACTCTTGGGAAGTTCGTGGAGGTATTTGCGGAATGCAGGGATGAAGGGAAGCTGATCGGTAGCATCTCGTCGATCTCTAAGTGACTTGATGGCGCATACGTGCAGTGTTGGATCCTCCGTCGTTCCTTTATTACTAACTCCGTCTGCGAGGAGGATGCCAATGGAGCGAATACCGTCCCAGTTGAAGACGACAAGTCGGTGCTGAGAGAACATTCTGCGTCCAATAGGGATAGATAGCAAGCCCTTGTACAGCTCAAATGTCAATCTCTTGAAGTCCTGAGAAGCTTGATGGCATTCGTCCATCGAAACGTCGCAGATCTCGCAAGAGTCTCTCTTGACCTTAGCCAAATCTGCTTGCGCTAGCTTCACGTCCTTCTCGTGTTCGGGGAGCAGCTGTTGAGTGGCATGTTCAGAGAAACTTCGCTTGATCATCTCCTCGATCTTCAACGCCTCCACCCGTAGGAGATTCAGAATCATGTTGTATGTCAGTCGGAACTGTGACCGCAACTTAGACGGCTCTCCCAGAATCATGTTTCGGAGATCTGCAACGGGAGGAGCATCGTCCAAGCCTCCTGGTGGTACAATGATGACTGAACCAACGGTATCCAGACCACGACGGCCAGCGCGACCTGCCATCTGAGTATACTCTCCTGGTAATAAGTTTCGGAACGAATGTCCGTCATGCTTGCGGTACCCAGAGAAGACCACTGTTCGTGTAGGGAGGTTAAGACCCATAGCAAATGTTTCTGTAGCGAACAGAACCTTGACCAATGTCTGGGCGAACAGGATCTCAACCAGCTCCTTGACAATAGGCAATAAACCGCCATGATGAACAGCGATACCTCGACTGAGGAGCTCCCTCAGCCTGATAATCTGTGGAAGCTGCCGGTCGTCAGGCTTTAACCGCGCAACTGACTTTTCGATAATCATGTGAATATGACTCTTCTCAGCAGCAGTGCAAAAGTCTTGGTTACTGAGAGCATCTGCGTTCTCCTCACATCGCTTCTTCGAGAAGACGAAGATACAAGCTGGCAGAAGGGTTGACTTCTTGAGATACTGGACAAGATGAACCCATAGGTTCTTGTCTTGCGCAACAGATGTGAAACCCCCAGCCCGGCCTCCGCGACCCATGTGACCAGGGGCATGGCTTGCTCGAGGTGGCCCGCCCCGACCGCGCTGTTGACTACCTCCTCTCTGCTGTTGGCCTCCTCCACGTCCACCACGCTGAGGACCGCCTCGTTGAGTACCACCACGTTGATTGCCCCGGGGGTTGCCCCCACGAGTGGCGACAGTGGTCTCTGCAGGCTTCGGCTTGTCCTTTCCCTGGATAGCAAAGTGTGCGTCCTTCCAGCCCTTTTCGATGAACTTCTTTTCCGAGTCCACGATCTTGTGGATATTCTTTCCTGCCCAGAGATAATGCTCCAGGGGAACGGGTCGCTTCGGTGTAGAAATAACGTAGATGTCTTTTTGCTTCGTTCGTCCAACCCACGAAGCAAACTCCTTAGTGTTTGGAACCGTAGCGGATAGTAGAATGAGAGATACATGCTCGGGTAACATGATAATGACCTCTTCCCAGACAACACCTCGCTCAAAATCGTTGACGTAGTGGACTTCGTCGAAGATAACAAACTCGACATCGCGAATCAGATCAGCTCCTCTGTAGAGCATACTTCGAAGAATTTCCGTTGTCATGATCAGGCAGCTAGCTTCTGGATTGATCTGGACATCACCAGTGAGAATACCCACCTCGTCAAAGGTCTGTCGAAAGTCGCGGAACTTCTGGTTACTCAGTGCCTTGATTGGCGAAGTGTAAATGGCTTTCGTCATGTGTTTAGCAGCCAGTGCGATGGCGTACTCTGCCACAACAGTCTTGCCGGCTGAAGTATGTGCTGCAACGAACACTGAATCGCCGTTTTCCAGGTGGTACACTGCTTCCTTCTGGAAAGTGTCGAGTTCGAAAGGCCACTCTCTCGCCATATCGGGTACGAGCTCTCTGAAGTTGGACATATCATGGTTGATGTCGACCATATGCGCCCACTCGCGACCAGCCTTGCGAGCACTCGAGGCTGCAAGAACTCCATGAGGTTCCAGGGAGGGGAATTCAACAGGTAGAATGTCGTCGATATCATCACCATCCTCAGCAGTCTCGTCGAGAGTTACATCCGGAGTAGTAACGTCTGTTGAAGCTTCATTACCACCTTCTTCGACCTTGGCATCTTCTGGGTCTTCTTCAAGTACCTCCTTGACAGCATTCGCATCTTCTTGGCTGATACTTGTCCTTTTCTTGGTGAAGTCGATTCCTCTGCTTATCCCAGGGGCATTCTCTAGTAACCCACCCTCGGAGCCAAGCTGAATTACTCGCTCAAGTTTATTGCCTGTACCACTAGTCTCTGTAGCACCCCCTGGAACACCTGTGTGGACTTGATCCTCAAATGCCGCCGTTGCCTCGATGCCCTCGAGACCACCAGGAGCGAAGGGAAAGAAACCCGCGGCGCCTCTCACGAAATCAGCGCGGTTGGCAGGCTTTCGAGACAGACTTGTCGAGTTCTTGGCCGTGGCACTGTTTGCGGGGACAGTGACGTTCTTGTAGCCTGTAACACGCCCTTCAAGTCCATGACGCTGGAATCTGGTGAGAGTTCGAGTATGCGGCGGCGCAACCTTGTAAAGCGAAGTGTAATCGGCTTCATAATCCCATCGCTGCTGAAGTCGGTTGAGCCAGTCTGGTGAGAACTCAGGCGAGGGTGAGAGGAGGAGCTCCTCTAGGTGTCGCTTGAGCTCTTCTGGGTCTTGAGTTGCAGGTTGGCGTTGACCGGTCTCTTTAAGCCCCCTTTCAAGGAGAGCGTCGATACCAGCCATGCCTAATAGTTTTGAGTCAGTTTACAGGCAAAGCTGTGAGGTTGAATTCGCTATGGTGAAATGAATAATGAAGTGATGAAAGCTCCGAGTTAAGACTGCCCCACCATTGACGTTGGTGATTCTGACATTCATAGCGGGACACTCGAGAGTGAGCTTGACTTACAGCTCCACATTGGTTACCCTAAACTTACAAAAAAGTGTCTTTGATCTAAATATTTGACTGACCCAGTCTCTACACCAGTGGAAGGGTCTTGGTGTCTCTCAGGGAGCAAAACAAAAGAATTAGGTTCCTAAGCTCTGGGATCATCATATAGTAGACCCCAAGATTCTCCTGTAGCTACTGAGCCACGACATGGCAAGCTACAAACACAAGTCACGGTGAGGGATGCACAAATGTGAATTGGTAGATCATTAATAAGACGGATGCTATGCCCTGACTATACATGGCAACACGCGGTAAAATTACATTTCCCTTCCCTTCCGCACGTCTATCAAAAAAGTGTCCATCAAATACGCCAATTGGACCAGATTCTCATACGCATCGCAATTCATATGCCACGATGGGTAGCATGAAGCAAGCTCTGTCATACACGATACGTAGGCATGGGCGTCGACCTGACATGCTGGAGCAGGTAAACTATATTTCTCTCTCAACCCTCATTTCTCTTTTTTACAGACGGAGAACCTTGGCAGCGTAGTCCTCAATCAGCTGCTCGGTGGGGAAGGACATCTCCTCGAGCTTCTGGGCGTAAGGGGTAGGGACCTCAGCACCGGTGACACGGGCAGCAGGGGCATCGAGGTAGTCGAAGCCGTACTCCATTGTCAAGGCAAGGATCTCAGATCCGACACCGAAGGCAGGGTAGCCAGACTCGACGGACAGGAGACGACCGGTCTTCTTGACGGACTGGATGATGGTCTCAACATCGAGAGGCTTGACGGATCGCAGGTTGATAACCTCAGCCTCAACACCGTACTTCTTCTTGAGGTTCTCGGCGGCAACAAGAGACTGGCCAACAGTGCGGCCGAGGGAGACAATGGTCAGATCCTTGCCAGAGCGCTCAATCTTGGCCTTGCCGAAAGGAATGACGAAGTCGTCCTTCTGGGCAGCTTCGGACATGGGGAAGCTCTGTCCGTACATCAACTCGTTCTCGAGAACAACGACGGGGTTGGGGTCGCGGATGGCAGCCTTCAGGAGACCCTTGGCATCCTCGGAGTTCCAGGGAGAGACGACCTTGAGACCGGGGATGCTGCCGTACCAGGCGGAGTAGTCCTGGGAGTGCTGAGCGCCGACACCAGCAGCGAAGCCGTTGGGGCCACGGAAGGTGATGTTGCAAGGCTGGATACCACCAGACATGTAGAGGGTCTTGGCAGCAGAGTTGATGATCTGATCGATGGCCTGCATAGCGAAGTTGAAGGTCATGAACTCACACTAGATTGGTGAAGCACAGTGGTTAGAGTCTCGAGCAATCACAATGCGGAAGCTGAAATACTTACGACGGGGTGAAGACCACTGAGGGCAGCACCAACAGCGAGACCACAGAAACCAGACTCAGTAATGGGAGTATCAATAACACGCTTCTCACCGAAGCGGTCGAGAAGACCCTTGGTCACCTTGTAGGCACCGTTGTACTGAGCAACCTCCTCACCAAGAATGAAGACCTTCTCGTTCTGCTCAAGCTCCTCAGCGAGAGCCTCATTGAGCGCATCTCGGACAGTGACCTCCTTGACACCAGAGCTCTGGCCGTCGGCGTAGGATCGGGTCTGGGCGGAACCAAAGACAACAGGTCGAGCAAGAGCAGCGCGAGCGGCGGCGGACTGGGCGAAGGAAGGGGCAGCGGGAGCGCGAAGAGCCCGGGTCGAAGCAGCTAGGCGAGCTGCGGGTCGGAGAATGCGAGACATGATGTGCGGCGGTTTGTTGAACAAGTCAATTGACCGTGGAGTTGGAGAGGACGAGGTCGGAGGGTCGACGGGGAAGAGAGAACAGAACTTGAAAGACAAGAAGCTGCAGTGGACAGGCTTCTCTTAATTCCCTGGTCGTCGACTTTGACGTGGGAATTGAAAATGGTGATGAACTGAAGTTGGTGTTGAGAGATGGAACAGGTCGGGTTGAGAGAGGGAATTTCACCGAACAACGCTTTCGCTGGCCAGCTATCAGTTTTTTTTTGGGGCCAGTCGGTACGTATCGTGCCGGAACTGCGAGGTACTTGAGCCCTCACCAATTTCTGGTGACTAATGTGGTACCCGCTCTCCAAAACCCCGAGTGAGCCTCCGTTAGCTCGGGGCAGCTTTATCCCTCTCTTGCTCCCCGCCTACAGCAACTCTGATGCGACCCCTGCAACTCACTGCAGCACTGTTTTCGCAGGGTAACCTCTAGCGCTGAAGCACCTATCACAGCTCAGGACAGAACCCTCCGACCCATTTCAAAAGTCTGTTGGGGGATCCAGGGGCGTATTGGGGGACCATTTATCTCCACCAAAAAACATAAAACTGAGTGCTTTATCTGCTCGAATACAGTCAGATGACGGTGCCGGAGAAACAAGAAACCGCTAATAAGAGATCACTTCAGTATGGTACCGAATGGTGATATGATTCAATTAATGTTTTATCATGGCCGATCAGGCTATCATTGACAAGAAATTTGAAATTGTATGGTATGTATATTACAATTATAAGCCAGTATTGTCCCCAAACTCCTCTGCCTTCTGGATCCTCTATATCTTGAGGCCGGCCACTTCATATATGTTTGCATCATCAGCCAGCATGATTTGAATGCCCTTTTTGATCTTCATAAGATGTTTTTGTTTTGGAATTTTGTTGTCATAAGCCTGTTGCTTTACGCAGAAGGCTTGCGAGCCACCATGAGGTACATGGGGGTGAAGAGGTGATCCCGACCACCGGCGACCAAGCAGTCGGCAGCGACAGCCAGACTGTCAGCAGTCTTCTTGGTTCCAGCAGGAGCAAGCTTCAATGTCTCCAAAAGACCAGCCAGACTGTGGGCAATGGTTCGTCCCCAGGTGGTCATGCGCACGATGGTGAAGATGTCACCGACGGACTGGATGTAGCGGAGCTCACCAGTCAGGGGCCAGTACCAGGGGAGAGCATCGGGGCGCATGGCGAGATCCTCGTGGTGGAGCATCTCGAAACCAGAGTCCTTGATAGCGTCAAGGCCCTCAGAGACCTTGCACATGTTGGAGATACCATCGCCCAGCTCGATACCCAATCGGATCTCACGGTGGCGGAGGTTATCGTTGTCGTACTCGTCGGTCATGAGCCACTCGTACACACCGAAGACACCACCGGGCTTGAGAACTCGGAAGATCTCACTGTAGATGCCCTTGAGAGTAGGGGCGTGGCAAGTAGCCTCAATGGCATAGACGGCATCGAAGCTGTTGTCAGGGAAGGACATTTGCTAAAAGGGGTATTAGCTGGGGGTCGGAACCCGAGGATGCTGGGCAGCACGAACCATAAAGTCACCCTTGACGAACTTGAGCTGGTCTGACAGGCCCTCCTTGAAAGCGTAGTGGGTAGCACGCTCAATCTGGTAGTCGTTGTTGTTAAGACCGGTGATGTGGGCGCCAGTGAACTTTGCGATCTCACGAGCGGGACCACCAACACCACAACCGACATCAAGAACCTTCATGCCCTCCTTGATGCCAATCTGGTGAGCAAGGTAGTGCTCATGGCGGGCAATGGCCTGGTAAAAGGGCTCGCCCTGGGAGAATCGGCAGAAGTGGAAAGACTGGCCCCAGCCATACTCGTAGAGATCGGTAGCAAGGTTGTAGTAGCTGCGAAACCCAAAGTCAGTCGACAGTCCAAAACGAGACATTCCAAGACAAGAATCAGATCACTTACTGTCGAGTCAAAGTGGCGTATTCGGCAGTACGGGCCTGACCGCTATGTTAGTTCCTCCTATTTGTTGATGGCGGGGCATATCAAGGGATCATACAGCTCGCTCCTCAGGAGTCTCGTCCTCAGCGCGCTTGTTGTCCCAGTGCTTGAAGTACTCGTCGACAGCAGCCTGCTTAGCAGAACCGCCCTTTCGGAACATGGCAGCAACACCACCTCGAGCCTGGGCAGAGGTGCCGTGCATGGCCTTGTTGAAGTCGGCATCGCGCTGGTGATCCTCGCGCTCGAGGTTGGAGGCGGTAGATGAGGCAACCATGTTGAATATGGTGTAAAGTGTTGAAGGTGAAGGTTGGAAGAGAATCGAAGTCAGTCAATGCAAAGAAGAGAAGGACAGCAGGCGAATTGAAGATCGATTGAAAAGTAGAAACCTAAAGGGAGTGGGTTGGTTTTAATGGCTGAAGGTTACGCAGAGGGACTACCTTACGGAGTACCTGTCGCAACAAACAAATTTCAGGGCCCTCCCCTGAACTGCACAAGCCATCCCGTCTATGGCCATCCAATCTCAACCGCGAATTGAGAAGATACAGGACGCTAGTCTTGAACTGCATTAGTTCCCCTGTCTATCGCTAGGGGGTCTAGGGGGGCCAGGTTCTTGGTCTAGGCGACCCGATAGTTTACGACCCGAAGTAATTTACGGATGCTAAATAAGTTAACTCTTCATGACTTTGGCCTTCATGTGAAAGACAAGGACTCGAACGAGTTGTTGATTTCTTTGGGAAAGCTTTGATTTGCTATTGCATTAATTGATTAAATTATCCTTGTAATCATATCTCCTTTCGCCACAATTCGGAATTGTATGGCGGTGAGAGCGCAGCAGCTAATTGATGGATGCTAGGAAGAGGTATCCGGAGGCTCAATTTGCGAGAAATGATACGAATACGAACGCGTCTACGAGAACATTGTCTCTTACAACAAGATAACAATGCAAGTCATGACAACCAACTAAACAACTGAGTGTACTCCGTAGGCTGTAGCCGGACAGCTTCCGTCATGATGATAACTAGTCCATCATATTACCTGCAATGCTGCATCATGTTTCGGACTTCTCCAACTTTTGAATTGCCAAATAGAGAATTTTCGTTTTCGTATCGAACCATTCACATCCACCTCATATCATGAGAAGCCCCCAGATCTACTAAGAGCAGATGACTTCTCCGGAACTTTAGAGTAAGAGAATGACGGAAAATAGATCTGATGACGAAGCTATCAGATTATCGATCTTTCTTGTGCCAATCCTCCAAAATGAATGACCCAGTCACGATTGGGAACTTACATCTGTCCGAGATGTTCTGGAGATGTTATTACTGAGGCTTATCGATAAGACAGCCCCTCTGCCCAATGACGGCCAACTCCGGTTTTAGGTTTGGAATCTGAGGCCATATTTTGTATTACATAAGGTGGCGGATGACCGAATTTCCGCGCCTCAAACTCCAAAAGTCATCACAGTCAACTAGAAGCTTTTCTCTGCGCAAAATCATTACTCTATCTATCCACGATGCCGCCTCAGATCAAGCAGGACCTCAACAGATCAGGATGGGAGACCACCGACTTTCCCTCCGTCTGCGAGACGTGTCTACCTGATAATCCTTATGTCAAGATGCTTAAAGAAGATTATGGTGCTGAATGCAAATTGGTAGGTCTTTCGCGTTGTTTTCCTCCGCGTTTTCGCATAGAGACAATGCTAATATATATCTGAATAGTGTACCAGACCTTTCACCGTATTCGCCTGGAGCGGTACTCGCGCCAACGGTCGCAAGAAGCGAACAAACATTTGCTTGACTTGCGCGCGACTCAAGAATTGCTGCCAATGCTGCATGCTCGATCTTTCCTTCGGTCTCCCCATCGTAGTACGCGATGCTGCCCTCAAGATGGTCGCGCCCGGCCCGCAGTCCGATATCAACCGAGAATACTTTGCGCAAAACAATGAGCAGCTCATCGAGGAGGGAAAGGTTGGGCAGGAGGAATACGAAAAGACGGACGAGAAAGCGCGCGAACTGCTGCGAAGACTCGCCAACAGCAAGCCTTACTTTCGCAAGGGCAGGACTATTGAGGAGGGAGAGAGCTCCAAGGGTGGAAACGTAGCTGTCGGCGCTGGTCTTGGAGGACCTGGCCCAATTCGAACCCGAGACTCAAAGGCAGCCGCTGCTGCGGGAGCTAGAACTGGTGGCAAAGGCCGTCAGGTCTTTCCCAGTGCTGCTCAGCTCCCTCCTAACCCACGCGACTGGGCTCCTCCCGCCGACAAGAACATCATGTCGCTTTTCGTGACGGGTATCGAGGATGATCTCCCAGAGTACAAGCTTCGCGATTTCTTCAAGGCTCACGGCAAGATCAAGAGCTTGGTCTGCTCACACATGTCGCACTGCGCGTTTGTCAACTACGAAACTCGAGAGGCCGCTGAGAGGGCCGCTGAGGCATGCCAGGGTCGAGCCGTTATTGCAGGATGCCCCCTAAGGGTCCGATGGGGACAACCAAAGGCTATTGGTACTATGGACAAGGATGAAAGGACGCAGATGCTGCGAGATGCTAGACAGCGCCAGGGAGGATCTCAAGGCCAGCGATCGATCGAGGGTGGCAGTAGTTCGGCCAATCGTCAGGCTCTGCCAGCTCCTGTGGCAGCACCTCCAGGGGCTTCCGATACACCCGCTTACGCCGCTCTTACTGGAGACTGAATGAAGTAACGACTTGTTTTATGTTCATCATAAGGTAGAAAACCATGACTTCTGGAGTTTGGCGTCGGGAAAAGGACATCATGGATAAGGTGGTCTTCATTAGCGAAAAGGACAATTGATTATGGAGGTTGCAGATTACGTGAGAACAGGAATAGATGGGAAGCAAAGAGCTATTCTAGAGTGATGATCATTTTGGTGCATTTCATTCCTGGAGGGTATCATGACTGTCAGATAATGTTACAAATTGTACAACGGGACTAATAGTCTCCTCTCATTTTTTACCACCACCGCCGCAGCAGCCACCTCCAACTGTGCCTTTGCCAGCTGTCTTGATAGACTCGTTATCTCCTCGCTCAATATCTTCGTGTATTCTGAGCTCTGTAGAAGTTATTAGCTTTCGTTTTCGCCCTCTACCAACCAGTCTCAACTCACTGAAGGTGTCCTTGCCCTCCTCTGTTCTTTGACCCTGAACAACATTCTGACGAAGAACCTTTGCTACGTCTTCGGCATGCTTAATCGCTGCGGAAGCATCGGCAGCATCGACCGATGCTTTTTGGCGGAACTCGTTGCGGATCTGAAGCTGAGCGGCAGTGAGGATAGGGGCGTCGCCTGCAGTGAATTGGTCAGTCAGCATAACCCATTGGACCAGTCTTGAACCTGGAATCGGCTGCATTCGAAATCCGGTTCCGGGACGGCTTCGTACCTTGGAAAGCGATTCGCGCCGCGCGCATTAGGTGTCGGTAAGCATTGAGAGCGGGAGCGGGAGCGGTGGCCATTTTGAGATCTGACAATTCCAACGAATGGGAAGATTTCGAATCAAAAGGAAGGATTGGCGCAACTGTTCGTGGGTAACGTTGTTGTGGTCGAGTTGAAACGGCTTGGAAATCGAAAGTAAAAAAAGTCCAGTTCAAGTTCAGCTGGATTGGATGGTGTCAACGGCCGGGTGGTTCAGCGGATTCCCGGGAGGGCCCGATCACTGAGCCGGGAATACTCAGGCGGATCCGGACACATGAGAACGCTATGGGAGAGCATTCTAGAGCACCCTCCCACTGTAAGTGTCCGATTGTCCACTGGAGCTTTTACCCCGCCAATGATTTCAGTCCGTTCATGGTGGGGGAACTCTTAAGTGCGCCATAGAAAAAAATCATTACAGCCAAAAAAAAACGTCGGGATTTTCTCTCCCTCTCTCCATCACCACCAAATCCACACATCACAAAATGGCTTCCGTGGCTACTGTGACCATCCCCCTCCCCGCTCTTCCCAGCGGCTGGGCTGCCGACAAGGACTTCAAGGCCATCGGCAAGCTCACTGAGGCTACTCAGCGAACCATCGAACCCGTTGGACCTCACTTCCTTGCCCACGCTCGCCGTGCCCGCCACAAGCGCACTTTCTCTGAGGATGACCGTATCCAGGCTCAGGAGAACACCAAGAACGTCGAGGATGGCGACGTCAGCGACGAGAGCGAGCCTGAGGATCCTATGATGCTCCAGCGTGAGGCCAAGGACTGGAAGGTGTGTATTTACGATGATTCAAGTCAATATTCGATACTAACAAGCGTAATCTAGACCCAGGATCACTACAAGATTCTCGGCCTCTCCAAGTACCGATGGAAGGCTACTGAGGACCAGATCAAGAAGGCTCACCGCAAGAAGGTCCTCAAACACCACCCCGATAAGAAGGCCGCTCAGGGCCGTACCGAGGACGATCAGTTCTTCAAGTGTATCCAGAAGGCCACCGACGTCCTCCTTGACCCCACCAAGCGTCGCCAGTTCGACTCCGTCGATGAGGAGGCCGACGTTGAGCCCCCCACCAAGAAGCAACTCCAGAAGACCGACTACTATAAGGCATGGAGCAAGGTCTTCAAGTCTGAGGCTCGCTTCTCCAAGACTCACCCCGTCCCCTCATTCGGCAGTGCCGATGCCACCAAGGAGCAGGTCGAGGAGTTCTACAACTTCTGGTACAACTTCGACAGCTGGAGAACTTTCGAGTACCTCGACGAGGATGTCCCTGATGACAACGAGAACCGTGATCAGAAGCGACACCAGGAACGCAAGAACACCAACGCTCGCAAGAAGAAGAAGGCTGACGACAACGCCCGTCTCCGCAAGCTGCTAGACGACGCTTCCGCCGGTGATGAGCGTATTAAGCGATTCCGACAGGAGGCCAGCGCCGCCAAGAACAAGAAGCGCTTCGAACGTGAGGCTGCTGAGAAGAAGGCGAAGGAGGATGCTGAGGCTGCTAAGCTCGCCGAGGAGAAGGCCCGCCAGGAGGCCGAGATTGCTGCTAAGGCTGACCGTGAGTCCTCCAAGAAGGCAAAGGAGGCTGCCAAGAACGCCGTCAAGAAGAACAAGCGTGTCCTCAAGGGTTCCGTCAAGGACGCCAACTACTTCGCTGCCGGCGAGCCCACGCCCGCCGACATCGACTCCGTTCTTGGCGATGTCGAGACCATTCAGGGCAAGATTGACCCCGATGAGATTGCTGCTCTTGCTGCTAAGCTCAACGGTCTCAAGGTTGCTGATGAGATCAAGGCTGTCTGGACTGGCGAGACCAAGAGACTGGTCGAGGCTGGTAAGCTCAAGGAGGGAGATGTTAAGGTCTTGGCTTAAGCGATGCGTGCGTGTTACGTGGTTAGGAAAAGTGTATGTTGAGTTATTATGATGGGTTCTAGATAAAAGTAGACACGATGATATGTTTTCTAGATCAGAATAGAACAAACTAGACTTTGTTCAGGCTATGTTTTGATCCCATTATCCCGTCTCCAACCCTGTAAATGTGATATTGACAAGTGACATTGTTCTTGCAATGGGCTGTATCTGTTTGACCGTGAAGTTTTTGCTCCAGTTGTTCAAGATACAAGATGAAAAGGAAGAGTTACATTGGCCATGCCAATTTTATGCCAAATTCAACTGCTAATATGTGAAAATTGAAAGTCTACTTGCGTACGTCTCTTGTGCCTGCTCTATATTACAAAAGTATTCATGATAAATGCATACAAAGAGTAGAAAGATTGGTCGTCCTGATCCTGGACTCAACCATGAGCAGATGAGTAGAGAATCCCAAACCAGAAACATCCCAAGCTCCAAGTGCCTTTTGGCCCTGATATCCTAAGGGCAACTCCCTTGAACGCCAGTTCCGTCTAGTGCTTATGCCTCCCTATCCAAAGACTGACCCAACACCATCTCATAGTAAAGTCCCCTTTTCGCAACAAGCTCATCGTGTCGTCCCCTCTCGACAATCTTTCCACCTGCAAAAACACAGATGACATCAGCGTCTCGAATCGTGCTCAGTCGATGAGCTACAGCAACTGTTGTCCTTCCTTCGGCTGCTCTATCCAACGCTTCTTTGACGACCTTCTCGCTTTCCGTGTCGAGGGCGCTGGTGGCTTCGTCGAGGAGAAGAAGACGTGGCTTGCGGATGAGAGCTCGAGCGATGGCAATACGTTGACGCTGGCCTCCTGAGAGTGAGAGACCTTGGTTTCCGCATGGTGTAGTGAGGCCTTCAGGAAGGGATGAAACAAACTCGTAGACGTTGGCTTGTTTGCAAGCCTCGATGATCTCGTCGTCAGAGGGAACGCCTTCTTCGATGCCGAGAGAGATGTTGTCCCTGATAGAGCCCTGATACAAAACTGGTTCTTGCTGAACAAGAGCAATGTCCCTCCTGTGCAGGCGTCTGTCCTTTGTCTTGATATCCTGCCCATCCGCAAGTAATATACCCGAAGTAGGATCATAGAAACGCTCAAGGAGCGCTATCATGGTCGATTTACCACAACCTGATGCACCAACAAGTGCAACCATCTTTCCTGATTCGATGCTGATATCGACGCCCTTGAGGACCTGCAACTTTGGTCGACGCGGGTAAGCGAAGGTGATTTCCTCGCAAGACACATCAATACCCTTCTCCGATGACTTCTCACTTCCTAAAGCCCCTGGACCGTTGTCTGTATTATCATGAAGAGCCTTTTGACGACGCTGTTGGAAGATGTAGTTGATGGCAGTTCGTGCTTTGGTGATACTCGTGGTGTATTGGAAGAGCATGGCTGATGTTTCTCCGGAGAAGACGACGGCGATGAAGATGACGTAGAACTGATCTGTGGTATACTCGCCGAAAGAAACAAGACGACCGCCGTACCTGTCACTTGTTAGTGCTGTCTTTATGCTACATGAGACTGAACCTACCAGAAACCCAGCGCCATAGCTAGGAAAGACGCCGACTGACTGAACGAGTAGAACAGCATCTTCCACCCCAGACTAGCAATTGCTTCTTTAGCAAGTCCTTCGAGGGCACTGCTATATCTCTCAATGACAGCTCGTTCCAGAGCCAGCGAGGACACAGTCCTGATTCCCAGCACAGCTTCAGAAGCCAAGCTGCTACTCTTGGCAAACCGTCCAGCAGTATCATCGTCGAACTTGTACTCCAGACGAATTCGGACATATCCTGAGCCAACAAGAACCGGTAGAGCGCAAAGTGTCAGAACAAGACCGAGCTTCCAGCCGTAGGCAATGGCGAGAATGGAACTAGATAGAACGGTGACGATGTTGATCATGATGAGTGATAGGTTCATGGACAGAAGTTCCTGGAGACTGGTAGGTTCAGCAGCTAGTCGAGAGACAAGAGCACCAGTTCCGCGGTTGGGATCGTCGAAGAATACCATGTCTTGTCGAAGGGTGTTGTCGAACAGCTCGCCACGATATACAGTCATGACATGCTGAGAAGAGTTAGCCTTGTATACCTCAATGGGGTGAAGACACTTACCTGACCGATCTCGTTGCAAACCCAGCCAGCTACAGCATAAATGACAAAGTTGGCGAGGGCAACGACGAAGAACATGAGTGAGAAGAAGTTGGCCTCGCTGACATCGATGGTCTCGAAAGCCTTCATCGTCTTGGAAAAGAGAATCGCCAGTGCTGGGTAAGTACCGCCTAGTTCTTGTGAGTTTTGCCCCCTTTCTAAAGTCGCTTGTGATGAGACTTACCTCCCAATAATGAGATGATGACCAGAATAAACCCAGAGAACCATAGCGACCGTTGTTCCTTGATGACAAGCCAAAGGCCTTTCAAAAGACTATAGTTGATTCCGTCATCCTGAGAGATATCGGCCGTAGCATGCTGAGAAGCTCTGGACAAGACGGGATCGAGACCAGCAACTGGCTCCTCTTTATCCGTCTCACTATCCTCATCATCCGATGAAGCACTTCCCTTTCCAAGATCCTGTAGGCGAACAAGACGGGAGTATGTGCCACCACGCTCAATCAGAGAATCGTGAGAACCTTGCTCGATAGTTTCGCCCTTGGCCATAACAATGATGTTGTCGGCATCTCGAATCGTAGAGAGTCTGTGAGCGATGACGATCATGGTTCGACCCTTGGCAACATTGTTGAGAGCTTGTTGCACAATCTTTTCGGCGTTGGGGTCTAGAGCGCTGGTAGCTTCGTCGAGCATGAGGACTTTGGGGTTTGAGATAATGCTGCGAGCAATAACCACACGTTGCTTCTGTCCACCAGACAAAGAGGCACCTCGCTCGCCGATCCAAGTATCGTAGCCCTGAAAAGGGGTTGGTCAAAGACACCTATGACGGGACAAGGAGAGACTTACGTTTGGCAATGTTTCGATAAAGTCATGGGCATAAGCCGATTTACAGGCATTGATAACCATGCGTTTCTTTTCTTCTTCTGAAAGGTCCACCATAGAGGTACCAGTCAAACCGTCGACAACATTTTGATAGATAGTGCCGCTGAACAGAGTCGGTTCCTGATGAGAAGTCAGTATGAATATAACTTACAGGGACCGTAGATCGTTGTACATACCTGCTGAACCATCCTGATATTTGTTCGTAGCCATTGTAAGTTCAAGCTTTCAACAGGATGTCCATCGAGAGTGATAGAACCAGCACTTGGCATATACCATCGCTCCAAAAGTCCAAAGATAGTACTCTTTCCTGATCCACTAGCACCAACTAAAGCGGTCGTTTGATCGGCGGGAATGTCGAGGTTGAGTGAGTGAAGAATTTCGACGTTGGCTCGTGAAGGGTATGCAAAGCGAACGCCACGGAACTGTATGTCGCCCTTAAAATCAGGGATTATGCCTCCTTCCTGTGACAAGGCGTCTATTTGAGACTTTCGATCGATCATCTCAAACATCTCTTGTGCAGCTGCAGTGGCTTTGGAGATTGCGATTGTCTGGGGTGCGATTTGAGTGAGAGCTGTGGCAGCAACAAGAACTGCAAAGATGACACTAGGTCAATCAAGTTAGTCAAGTCATCGAAGTATGAGTTAGAGACAGAAGACTCACGTAACAACCGTACCGGGCTGAGTGATCTCGCCCTCAGAGTACATCCTCATACCCTGCCAAAAGGCCAATCCATAACCCGCAAAGATACAAAAGAACTCGGTTGGGAACAAGACCATATAAACCCAAGACTTCTTGTGTCCAATTCTCCTCGCCTCCTCAAGCGTATTAGTGAACCTCTTTGACAGCTTAGGGAACGCCCAGAAAGCATGAGCAGTTCGAATAGTCGAGAAAGCCTCTTCCGCCAAAGAACTCGATCGCGAGTAGACATCAAACATGGCATATTCATAGCCAGTATCGATAGCGACGCAAATTATTGTTACAACGAGGTTGACGGGAATGATGGCGAGGACAATGAGTGTCAATTTCCATTGCACAGCGAATGCGACGACAAAGGCTGAGACGAAAGTTGAAAGAGCCGCGATGGTGATGCCAAACTTTTCAGAGATTCCTTGGTTGATGAGGTTTCCATTTGTTGTGATCTGCCCAGGAATTGATGAGGATGGAGAGTCGAAGAAGGCGACTTCTTGACGAAGAGTGCTTCGTACAAAGTCGACGCGCAGTGCTTTTGTGGTGTTGATAGCAGCAATAGAGACGAGAATCTACCTACACCTTTAGTATCATCCCTGTATGAGAACATTGTGAATAAGTGACTTACCGTCCACAGATATGTCAAAGCAAACTTTGCGATAAAGAGATAGATAAAGTACAAGCTACCAATGGTCAGTATCTGAATGCAAACAGTGGCTAACTAGGTAGGTTAGTTAGTACTTAGCAAACATACCTATACTTGCTGACTTCGCTTCGATACCCAGCAGGCGATAGCACTCCAGTTGCAAAGTCGGTGAAAACATTGATGAATTTTCCAAAAACAAGGTCCATCAGGGGTAATATCGTCCCAGCGGCGATCATGGCCACGAATGCGATGCTGTTGAGGGTCCATCCTAAACGATCGTTGTAAGTAAAGACGCGCTGTGAATATTGTTAGCAGAGGCTCATAATTGTCACGACTGTGATACTTACAAGGTAGTACTTGAAGCTCGTATCCTTCTTTTCTTCGTTTTCTTCCTTTGTGTCACCCTTTTCATCTCCGTTGTGTTCAATAGTAACCGCCATGTCCTGGTTATTCGATACAGCAGAGCCTGACTGTGAACCGCCAGTCGGCGTATCCTTTTCTTTAGTTTCAGCCATACTGACTTGATCTAGAGGTGCAGTTTGTTGTAGGTAGTCAAAATAAACTGCAGATCAAGATCGTTTTAAACAATGATGCTCGCTCTTGGCGTTGACGACTAGACGCAACCCGCAAACCCCGGGGGCCATTACGAACTGACCAATTAGCTTATACAGCCACAAGATCGACGGGGCTTGCTATGTAACTACGACCTAGTTTTGGAAGGTGTCCTAGAATGGCTCATTATTACCCCCGGGGTAATTATTGAGCCGCCTGCTTAATCTTGACAGCCCGAGAGTCCTTTTCTACTAAGTTAGATTTCGTATACCTCGTTTAAGAGACCTACATAAGTTACAGAGCACAACAGACTGTAACCTCCCTCAGTCCTACATGAAACTCAGTTACAATTGGTGAGCAGCACCAATGCTACCATATCCTTAGCTAGTCAATTCTATTCCTTGTTTCTCCAATTGTTACGACGACAGGGTCAATCAATTTCTCATTAGAGCGACAAAACAGCCACACTCAATGCTGGCCAGATCCGGGACGCACGCCACATGCTACTCTAATTCATGCAAGCCAAAGCCACAGTCTGGCGCCCTCAACTGCCGCCAATCGGTCTCCGCGGCTCCCGCTTCCACTCTCCTTCACCCTTCACATCCGCGATACTTACCGGAATACGCACGTCGTCATTTTATCTGAGGGCCTAATCGCTTTCACCGATTACCAGAGCAGAAAAACTTGTTGCTTTATTGATCCTGAGCTTACTGCTGCAGCCTCAATTCCTTGGCTGCAAGTGAATACCCAAAAGAAGGTTGCCGCATCGCATATCTATCTCTATCAACTATCAAGAACTCGATATGGATCCCGGGCAAGCAAACAACGGACCCGCGGCTTCCGATGACTCTGCTCGGAGAGCGGTAAGTACCAGTTTTCCGATTTAGCCAATTCCAGCGTTGGTATTATTCAGAATGTGGTCTCCTCCCCGGCCGGCTTGCATATCGTATCGTGTCGCTTACACGGCAACCCCAAAGCGATCAATCGCGAAAATGGTGTGCCGTGCCAGTGTGGCCTTGTTAGCTGCATCGGCCCGCTGCGAGTTTCGCCCATCAACAATATCTTGTGTTATGTAACAATCCCTTTGCATGTCAGGACTGACAAGAACTCTTGTGAGCACAGTGTGATCAGTGTCGTACGAGAAAGGTAAGCATCACCCATGAATGCCTTCAGAAACACCCCATAATCAGAACGTTTCTGTAAACAAAGGCTGTCCAACATTGATGGTATTAATGACACCTGCATGATATAGATCCGATGCGACAAAGACTGGCCATGCTCTAACTGTCGTACGGCCAAGCGCTCTTGTACATCCACAGGTATTGGCCAGAGGCCTAAAGAGCCCCGGCAGCGAGTTCTCATCTCGTCCCAATAGTTCGTGACCCCATATCATCTTTTACCCCAGACGCTGTATCTGAACATGGTGCCGCTTTGTCCCCTCCATGAAGCTTCGCCGATAGCCGTTCGCCAACCAGATAAGGCAGTTCATCTACTAACCACCGGCATGCGTGCCTCGCAGTGAACGAAAGATCGACCAGATTGAGGTCCGCTTAGGCAATATAGAAAGCCTCCTCCGGGATCTCTCCCAACGCCCCGTCTCCACTCCAGGAAGTAACATTCATTTTCCTGTCACCCCTGCAGCCTTCCCAGGTCTCGATCCAGCCTCTGCATCTACAGCGGCTTTTGACACTTCCGATGAGGAGTCTGTTCTGGGTGGTGATTCGGTCATTGCCCAGCAAACCACCTTGGCTAGCGACCTTCTCGAGCATGCCGTCGAGCGCACATCGTTAAACGATGTCAGCCCCAAGATGTGGGAAGCTCTCGCAAACTTGCGACAGTTGGCCGAGCTTCAGAGTCGGCAGTCCATCAGCCATGGTCCCCGTTTTCCACTCCAGCAGCCCATCCCAAAGGGAGGCTTGGGTCAACTGCCAATGCCTCCTATGGAAATTGTTGTGAACTTACTCAAGAGAGTCAGAGGTAGCAGTGACCACATCGTTTGTGCAACCATTCGCTGACTTTTGTCTAGCTTCTCCGCCAGGTCTCTTCACGTTTGTCTGCTACTTCATTGGAATAAACGACTTTTCCAACCTTTGTCGAATGGTCTACTTTCCCACAGACGACTTTAGCGATTCCACCTTCATCATCGTCAACGTCGGCCTGTATTACTTGTTTCTTGAACAGCACCACCTGACCATTGACAACAAGCCTCTAAAGGATGAGTTTGCCTCACACCTTTACACAAGTCGCGTCAACCTGGAAACGGCGCTGGCAAACATGTCTCTCTTCATGTCGACCAAGATAGAAACAGTCCAGGCTCTCCTCATGGGTGTAAGCACAAGTCAGTTTGGTGTAACAAGTGCTGGGCACTGACAAAGGCATAGACATTATACACCATCGACGTCTGCCGACCCTCCGTGGCTTGGCATCTCAACTGTGCCGCCGCTCAAATTTGCCAGACTGCTGGTTTTCATCGCAGGGATCTCTCAACGCGCAACCCCGAGGAAGCTGACATCAAGGCGATCCTTTTCTGGTACACGTATACAACGGACAAAGCACTGGCACTTCGACTTGGCCGTGCTCCTGCTATCCAGGATTGGGAAATCACCATTCCACGTACTTTCGGCTTCGATGGCATCTTGAGTCTTGAAACCAAAGCTGTTGCGGGTACTTGGCTTAATGCTGCAACGCTGCAGGGTCAGGTTTATGAGCAACTGTAAGTTTAAAATCTGCATCAATGTTCCCAAGTCCTCGCAGCTAACGGAGACAGGTTCTGTCCAGCAGCATTAAGCCAACCACCGGCTGTCCTCGCCGAACGAGCCCGTCTGCTGGCAGCTGAGTGCCGTCGTGTCGAGGCAGAGTCGTTTCAGAGCCGAGAAATGGCCATCTCATCGCTCGAGAAAATCGGTGCTTCCCCTCTCGTGGATGTCCACCTGAAGGGTGATGAAGTGCAGTTGCTGTCAACCATGACTCTCATTTACAGAGCAGTTCCCGCTCCTGAAGGATCACCCACAAGGTTCTGTCAAGACTGTATAGACACTGCACGAAAGGCTTGTCACGCACATTTCGCATGCATGGATTTGGTGCGGAAAGACCCCCACGCGAGAGCAATATATGTCCATTGGTAGGTTCATCGTTACAGTACCTTGGATTTTGAGTGAATCTAACGAGGTCTAGGAACCTGGTGCTGACTCCATTTGCCCCCTTCTTTGTTCTGTTCGGATATGTCATCGAGACGTCATCACAAGATGATCTCCAACTGTTAAAGCAGTTCAGTGCGTCCATTGAAGAAACCAGTGATGCGTCGGAGACCATGCAAAAGCTATCGCGACTATGCAGCATCATGAGCAACGTCGCGGCTCTATATGTCGAAGCCAAGTCTCAACAAGTTGAAGATCAGGCAATGGTGCCAATTAATGACGAGTTCGACGTGTATTTGAGCCAGCTCGGACTCATGCCTGTTATGGACTCGACCATGGGCAATGCAGGTGATCCAAATGCAGAGTTTGGTGAGAACGCCCAAGTCAACCAAATGGCGGACTGGATGTCTGGAAGTCGAAATTTGCTGGGATTGTTGGAACAGGATATATCGCAGATCGGAGGTGTACAGTGGCCGCCCATGTAGAATAGAATGATAGATAGGACCCGGATAGATACTCGCAAATAGAATTTTGGTTTGATGTTTGTAAATTAAGACGAGTCCGATGCAGCTCAGTTGGTGGGAAACTGAGGATCATAGACTTCATAGCCCTCATCTTCAGTATCGCTCTCCGGGGACAAGTTCTTCTGGAGACCAGGATTGACTGGTGCAGGCTCAAGTGTACTAGCCGGCTTGGGTTTCTCAGTCGTCGTTGCTGCTGATCCGCTACCCTCAACTTTGGTGAAAGCACTCTTGAAGCCACTCTTCTTGAAGCCGCCTTTCTTGAATCCTCCTCCGCCAGTGGCAGTCTCTTGGCCAGGGAGCTTGATGCTGATGAGACCGTCGGCTTTGGCCTCGGCCTTGCGCGCACGAGAGCCCGCAGTGGGGTCACGAACCATGGCCTTCATGTCTTTGAGGCGCTGCTTGTGACTGTGATCATAGCTGCTGAGATGAGCTTCATAGTCATTCATGCGTGAGTAGCCTTTTGAGCAGAGCTGGCAGTAGAAGGACTTTTGGGCTTCACGTGCCGAAGCAGTCTGCGCCGAGGGAAGAGTTAGGTGTCGCTAGTGACGCGTTAGTCAAGGAATGGGCACCAGAGTATTCTGGTCTTTCTGGAGGCATTTTTTTTTTTTTTTTTTTTGTGCTCTCGTTAGTATAGTTGTAAGGTGTCCTCTGATAGTGTAGGTTGATGAAAGTGCCGTGACTATTGTGAGCTGCTGATGTTTGATGAAGGAAGTTTGAGCAGTGACCACGATCCAGATAAGAGTGCGGGCACTAACTCGGTTCGGCTAGAGCCTATAGCCTCGACACATCACCAATTAAAACGTATCATGTCTTGCTGACCGGGCTCCCAGAACCTCAACGTCATTTTCCCAGGGGGTTCTTCGACAGGGGGCTTCCAGAACCACCTGCCCCAGAGTCTCGAAAGCTTCCCCCGTTAATCCAGCACGTTGAGGCGCTAATCCCAACTGGAAAAACTTCCAGTCCCTTCCCTGTCACGAGCCCGCGCTGTCATCTCTTGTTTTCTGTCCCCCTCCAGATATTATTTCTTTGTCCTTTTGTTTTTGTAGTCATAATTACAGATTGAAACGCGCTGGGCGTGGTATCGTTATGGATTTCGACCAATACCCAGATCGTCGAGCCTCACAGGCAAGCTTCTTGTCTTTACAGCAGCTTGACCCTTCCCCGATCGATTCTCCCCCAGCAGATCCGTCTATTGACCGCCGGGACCTCGGGCCTCCGCCGAGAGGAAGTGATGATGGTTATGAGATGGTTGATGCCGATGATATGGAGAGGAGCTCAGCATCTATCAAGGCTCCTTCGACTGGTGCTCCCGGGCTGAGCGCAAGTACAAACCTCACAAATGGAGCTACAGGTCCAGGCCCAATCTTCTATCGTGAGTATCTAATGCCTACACGTGCTTGGATGGCACAGTAAGCTCACACTTCATTAGTTATGCGAATCCAGAAGTTCTCGAGTTACGCAATGGGTCTATTTACCTCCCTCCATCTCGCCAACGTATCCCTTATCCCCGCTGTTACTCGCTCAGTCCCTGGCTCCGAGACGTACCTCCTCATGACTCGTGAAATCTACCAGACCTCCCTTACGGAACCAATTCTCGTCGCTCTCCCTGTTATTGCACATATTGGATCAGGAATCGCTCTTCGACTGTTGCGGAGGTCACAGAACATGAAACGTTACGGTGCGGCGACCCCTGGAATGTACGCTCTCCATCGTTCAAGGACGGAACTCGAGGATAAAAGAAGGGCTTCTTCGCCATGGCCACCGCTGAGCTATATCTCGATATCCGGTTACGCTTTTTCTGTCTTCTTCGCCGCCCATGTCTTTGTCAATCGTGTTCTGCCCTTGCAAGTTGAGGGTGACAGCTCCAATATCGGTCTCGCCTACGTCGCACATGCTTTTGCTCGACATCCTATTACTTGTTGGGCTTCTTACGTTGGTCTTCTTGCCGCTGGCTGCGGACATATGATCTGGGGCCAGGCCAAGTGGTTTGGTCTATCGCCTACGACGAAATACATCTGGGGCACGAGCACCGTACCCGCAGAGAAGAGAGCCAGGAAGCAAAGGAGAAGGAGATGGGTCGCTCTCCACGGAGCTTCAGTGGCTTTTGCTGCTCTTTGGGCAGTTGGAGGCCTAGGAGTTGTTGCGAGGGGAGGTCTCATGGAAGGCTGGATTGGAAAGGTGTATGATGATATCTTCGCAGCGGTGGGGTTGTGAGGACATGATTGATCTAGCATCATTGGAGTTTGGGTTCGTTTACATGGGAGATGCTGAATCCCTCTCTTACACGCATTATGGAAATACCCTACGTCTATACGTTGGAGAATGAAGTAGATACGCATGAATACACCGGGAAGCTAAGCCATTACGATAATCCGCTCGCAATTGATGTACATAACATGGAGTGATGGGTACTTTTCACAAAAGTGAATGTTCCACCCACCATTGTGCGATGGCTTTGACCTGTGAACCACGAAGTGCTCAGCTGTGTAAAACCACCGTGAGCAATATCTTGCAACCCACTTGCTAATCCGTGTCGCAATCATATCGACGAGTGAAGCAATTCGGTGCCAAAACTCCAAATGCTGTACAGGGTAAGCACACAATCAAGCTCCGGTCAACCGCCGACCTTGATCGCCACCGACATTTTATTTCTTTATCCTACCAACCTCTGAACTTTATCAACACCTCTCCGGACCCTCCTTATCATTCTCCTCTAGTTTCTATATAGCTGATCGCAGGCTCGTCCTGCGCAGCGCACGATCTACGCACAAAATGCCGAAACGTAAGCTCCCTCCGACCGAAGAACTCTCCGAACCACAAGAAGTATCTCAGCCTCGGCCTTCAAAACGTTTACGTTTCGCAAACGTGGCATATAACCCACCTTCCCGCGATATCCTCACCACTATATCCTCCGAGCTTCTACTGCGGATATTATCCTTCTTGTCGTCGTCAGAGTTGCTGGATATCTCCCCCACTTCACAGCGTCTTTACCGCCTTGCGTCGGATCCTCATCTCTGGCGCGAACATTACTACGAGCGCTTTGTTCTGCCGCGCGCTTTACGCATACCTGGATTTAGACTCGGTGGAGCTGGCGGAACTAAGCTACAATATTCCTCGCGACGAGCTGTATGGGCAGATGGACGGAAAGGAAGAGCGCCGGAGGATGAGGTTCTAAGGGAGAGCAATAAGACCGAGAGTGTCGACTGGAAGAGACAGTATAAGTTACGTCACAACTGGGCCAGAGGAAAATGCGCCGTGGAGGAGGTCAGCGTGCGAGATGCGCCAGATGAGAACGGAGGACAGAAGAGGACGTTAGTCAAGGTCGTGGAGGGCATTGCAATAACGGCCGATTCGGCATCTGGACTGCGCGCGTGGGATCTTCGAACGCGGCGACCAATTGCGCAGCTCGACTTACATGAGGAAAACGAAAGCGACGATAATGCGCCGACGTCACTTGCGGTGGACGAAAGCGGTTCTGGAACAGTTGTGGATATCGTGGTGGGATTCGCGGATGGTGGCTTTGGACTTTGGCACTTGAACCTCGAGCGACAAGAACTATTACGGAGATATCGGCACGAGGAAAGTTGCAACGGAGAACTCGTCGCCGTTGCTTGTGGATATCCTTATGTCCTAACAGCGACGACAGCGGGTTTAATATCGCTATACACGTTCAACCGCCCAGATGACAAAGCCTCGGACGACACTGTAAATAGTGTCAATGACGAATCGCCATCGAAAGCGACAGAGAAACCACCGAACGCGATCCTGCCGTCTCCATATCTCCTCACATCGCTCAAGTCGCACACTACCCACTTACCACTCGCTCTATCGATACGGCGCATGTCGTCCTCTGTGAGCGCCTCCATCGCCTACACCTTCTCCGTCCGAGAAGGCTGGTGTATCGGCATTCAGGACTTGCTGATAACACCGTCAGCCGATGGCTCCGGCGTCGACACAATAACCTCCCGCCTCGCATCGACACTCCCCATTACAGCCTCTGGCGGTGCTGACTCTCCTCAAACCAATGAGTCACGGTCAGGGCTTACGACTCTTTGCTACAGCCACCCGTATCTTCTCGCCACACTGCCCGACAACACTCTCGTCCTATACCTTTGCACGTCGACCGCGACATTCCTATCGTTATCCCTGGGTATCCGCCTCTGGGGCCACACATCAGGCATCTCAGATGCGGAGATCACACCGCGGGGTAAGGCCGTGAGCATTAGCACGCGAGGAGACGAGATCCGCGTATGGGAGCTGGAGGGCCGCGGCGGAGGCAGCAGCATCGAGGTACGACCTACGAGCAGGCAGCCAGCCGATGACGCGGGCAGCCCTACATCCGCGCCAAGGGCTGAGTGGGAAGACCGCAGGAACTGGGTTGGCTTCGATGATGAGATGGTCATCGTCCTCAAAGAGGCGCGAGACGGTCGCGAGAGCCTGATGGTCTATGACTTTACATGATCCCATTTGCCTCACGCGGTCATATTAGACGTGCCAGAAGAAGCATCACCATGACCACATTGGGACACGCGCAACAGGAGACTGTGTCGCGACTTTGCCGGCAAAGGCAATCGCCGCCGCCTCCAGTTCGCGCCACGCTCCAGGGGAGAAATTCCGGCCACCCGTGGCATGCTGAGAATCGCGGCGCTCTGGAACTCACACCATCCGGGAGCGTGGGAAGAACCTCTCCGATAGTCCTGTAAGCCACCACCACAAACCAATCGTCTTCCGTTGAGGCTCCTGGGATCAAGGCAGCACGGCTGAAAAGTCCTAGCAAGCCTGGCTGACGAAAAAGCAAATACAAACTTGGCCGACACCACGATACGAGCAAGGGCACGAAATGAATCGATTGGCTCTGAGATGGCAATTGCAGCAATTGATAGCCTATTGCCTGGGCGTTACAATTAAACTCTGAGCGACATTCCCGCCGACAGATGGTCCTTCGTGGCGACTAGTTAGCACGACGCCTCAAGGCTGAAGCAGCGACAGGCACGTCCCTTTGCTAGCTGGAGTTTATCGAACGGCATGAAAAGCCAATTCAATTTAAAAAACAAGGCAACTCCAAAACCAAGGTCATACAAAAGCCGCATCCGCATCTCGTCCGTCAGGGGATGGCTGTAAGTAGCCAAACTTTCTCCGGCATAGCATCTTAACCTGAGGCCAGCTGGGATGACTTGTCAAAAAGCTTAGAGTATGTACGGAGTAGCGACTATCCCAACGCCGCAAATAGAAATCGTCCCTTGAAAGAGGAGATCTTCAAGGGCCCCTCGTTTCTGAAACGATATCCATTGAGTTGAGTCAATAAAACGCCGGAAGTTTACTGGGAGAAGCCCCAGCTAAATTGGCGTTGCATGTCATGTTATGCATTATGTGGCTCCACGGCATGAAACAAAACCAAGGTCATACTGACAGCGCATCAGAGGAAACAAGGGAAGGGACGGGAAGGGAAGAGAAGAGAAGAGAAGAGGCGAGGCGAGAGGCCTACGGAGCAGACAGTACATACCGACCGGTAGCTATCAATTGCACTGCACCTTGCCATTCAAAACGGTAGACGCGTTACACAAGACCATTGGTTCACTGCGCCCAAGCAGAAGCTGACACGCTGAGTTGCTGGATAGACCAAGGATGCTTGCTTTTGCCAGCGTATCAGCTGCGCCAATTGCATCCCGCTCGAATTGACAGGATAACGCCTCAAATGCAGTGCTACTGTTTACCTGGCAGCCTCTCCTTTTCTTTTCCAGTCCTGAGTCCTCACTCCAGAATCAGTGTACGCCACACTGGCTGCCCGCATCTTCACCGTACATTTATCTGCTCTCAATATTCAGAGGCAAAAAATAGAAGACGATAGATGGCCAGAGGCGAATGCCCGGTCCCATTGGGTAGTATCAAAAATGTCCGTACGATATTTGTATGTAGAAACTGCACTGCACGTTGCCGCTGTTCGTAACCGCGTAAAGTGAGTGATACCCCCACCAGACGCGAGGGGTCGACTTTCACATGGCAAAGATAGAGGGGGTTTGCTGTGTCTAGTCAAGTCTAGGAACCAGACACAGACCCAGAAGACGGGGAGGGATTTGAGGTACCTCAGTGGGGCCGTCCGTTATGGAGTTGAGTTGTCTTGTGGCTATGGATCATAGTGGAGATTCTTCTTTCCAGGAGGAGAAGTCGAGTGAAGGGAGGGAGTGTGACTATCATGGACTTTGATATGCGGAGCAGCGTACTTGTTCGGTGCCATTGAAGTCAACAGAAGCAATCATCAAGTGATCAGTATCTTGATTGAAGTGATACCTGAGCATGGAGCTATTAGAACCTTGTTTTTGACCGCCGAAATACCTACTCATAACCGAGGAAGAGCTGAAGTGAATCGAATTGAATTTGACAAAACCACCCATGCACGCGGCCCGAATCTGCCTTAGCCGCTCAACAAGGCGGGCGATATATCAACCACGGCCTGAGATTGGCCGAACCGAAGGACGGCACGTTGTAAAAAAGGGAAACGGAGGGCCGAATTCGAGGGGCACAACGGACGGGGACGGTGTAAGCAGACGGACTGCAGTTGGCGTCTAGAACTAAGACGGTGGATCAATCCCTCTCACCGTTTTTTTGCCTTACAAATGCCGAAGGGTCAAAAGAAAATAACGCTGCAAAGTTCCATTGCTCGATTCAACCCATCTCAAGCAAGCCAAGAGGTGGAGGCCCGAAGCCGAGGCATGATATGCCGTCGCGTGGGTGTCAATCAAATTGGAGAGCAAGACAAGACAGTTGATACTCTCTGTTTGTTGTTGACGCTGTAGGCGCCTGAATAAAGAGTTGTGAGCCCAATGATATAGACACTCCAGTCATGGCAACCATTTCAAGAAAGTCGATAAGTGAGGCATAATATCTCAATTGTTGATTAGAAGAAGTTGAGTCAATTTGACTTGACCCCTCTATCGCGGGGTCGCGCCGGGCATCAAAGAGCCATGGAAGCGAACCAACAGTTCATTCGAAAGCCAGCACTAGAGTGGAAGGAGTCCCTCCACTAACACGCCCGTCAAAGACTGACCCCTGTGACGAGCATTTGGATGACGTCTTTCGCCCAGCATTTGATGATGCTCGAGGTAGTCTAGATCGCATTGGATCCCAAATGTCGTGAGCTTCAACTGCACGACTCGCCGATTTCCTTGGTTTGATGCATCCGTTGCTATCCCTTCTCTGTCACTTGAGAAGTGAGATGGCTAAAAGATGCCTCAATGTTGACCGCCCTTGCAGTCAATGAATGACATTGGTCTTCACCGTCGCACAACCCTATGTCCTTGGCGCCTCCAACTATGTTCCGTCGGTCACCAGCATTAGCCTCGTATGTGGAGTTGATAGACAGTTAGTTAGACACTGAGACAGTGCTGATGACTTGCCGACGCGCGCAGCACGCTGAGTCCTTCATTAACTTCCCGACTTGATCCAGGATGTTGGGATAGACTACGCCGTTTCATTTCTCCGATCCTGCGAAGTGATGTGGGTGCCAGAATTGCTTCTGCCCGAAGATTCATGCGCAACACACACACAGAATCGCCCACTGTATTGTCTCAGACCAAAGCGGTCAAATGATATATGGTAGTATGGCAGCAACACGATATGGGACGGGTGACGCTTCACGAGACATGCCTCGTGAGCCTCTTGACTCCAGCCTCCGGACTCAGACGCACCCTTCCTTGAGCCTATGGTCCTCTCACATCCAAGAGCAGCCCTCATAGGTGAGCCTTCGGAGTGAGGGCGGCCACCACTACGACGGATGTTGATCAGCCACCACCGATTAAGAAGACGGAATGGATGGTACGGAGGATACACGCGCCGAGCGGGCCGTTTCACAACCATCCATGCCATTAGAGATTGAAGCGCGGTAGGCCGTCGTTCCGACTCTGTTACCAGCCTTTACGAGCAGAAATGGATGGCAGATGCCATCAACCATTGCAAATCTCATCAACTTCCTTGCTTGTTGCAACGCATGTCTTGCATTTGGACCCTTCACATTTGAATCAGTGATAAACCAGCGTTTCGTTATCAGAAGAACTGATAAGCCAATCCCACCATGACTTGTCATGTGCTCCCACCACTTGCTCACCTGGCAGAGGACGCCGGTTGACGATTCAAGGCCCAATGGTGGGGAACCTGGTTAGTTCATCTGTAACACCCGCTGCCAAACTCTGGGGAATATCCATTTGCTATCGATAAATATTCGGAAGCGGGTATCAATTGTACTTCCCGCCTTGTCTCTGATTGAGAATCGCAGTAAAGGGAGATGTGCAGCTCGTTTATTTCGATAGCAGCAACGTGATGCCAAGGTTGCCGACCATCAAGCTAGATACGCATGTCCCACCTCGGTATTGATGGTTCGCTTGGTTGCTCGGCTCGGGCTTCCTCCGTCGTTGCTGATGTGATCAAATTCCAAATTGAATTGAGCTCAGACATAGCGTCCTTGTATCATAGTTCCTCTGATTGCTTTACGACTCCCTCATGGTGATGGCTTTGCCTCAGGCTTAAACCTTAGAGTGGCAATGCGTTTCGTTTCGGCTTTACTATAGTAACTGTCCAGCTCCGTTCGGAGTTTGCCAGGCTTTACTCCGTTAATTAGGCCACGCAATTGTGCTGTCTTGGGGTAATGCTGATATGAAGCGTCCGGCTCACCCGATGGAGCACTCTGCTTCTGTCTCAAGCTGACCAAAGTGTTGTATAAATTTGCCCATAACCCTGACTGTGTCGTTGTTGGGAATTGCCACGACAAGCCAACATACCTCATGCTACTTTCGTATCCAACAAAGAAAACCATCTCATGTCATCGAGAGAGATGACGTTAATATTTGACCATGATGCAAATGCCATCATGCCATCATCTCCTTCAACAACTCAATCCATCGTTGAACGCTACAGTTCACCAATCAGCAATCCTTCCAGAAGCCCAAACGTACCAGGGCCTCAAACTCCTTATCGATAATTCACTCCCCCCTGGTCTGGGTCGCCCCCAAACCAGCCAAGACACTAGACCAGACATGACTTGGTGGCAGGTCTCGTTTTGGTTTCTCTAGTCTGCTCCTGCGGGAGTCCAAGCCTGTTTCTCCATATCCTGTGACTCACATCAATTCGGTGTGGGGGGAAGTGAAGCCTAAAGCCTGAGGAAGTAATATAGCGATATGTATGTACACAATTGTGTGAATAATGAACATTGAATTAGCATTCAATTGTAAAATTGGGGCAATTGTTGGTAGAACGAACGATGGTCGTCTGATACTGCCATCTGCCGAGAGCCACGTAATTTGAAGACAACAGTTGTGAGGCCGCCAGTTGGTATCTTGGCTAATACCCAACGACTTACACAAAATAGTCCTTGATGACAGCGTAAGAGGGAGTTGTGCTGCATATCCAATTATGAAGCCGATGACCGTTCACCGATCGCCAACTCAATGGCTGGCTCTATTGATATTTCT